TACCAACTCTTCAAACACGATTCCAAGCTTTTGATCTGACCAGTAATATGGGAAACTAGGTCATCGTTGTGTATATACTGCTCCCGGAAAACATGCTAGTTAGAAACTCTGTTGTCCTTAAGTTCCAGTCCAAGCACTGCCTTCTCCGAGATCGGTTTCATTCTATTAGTGTTTCTTTTGTGGCCGTGTATCTTAACCAACACTCTAGTAGAGGGCAAACTCCTTCTTGAGGACAGGCACTGTTTTACCGATGGTTGCTCCTCAGGAGTACTTATATGTAGAATGTGCTCAACAAACACTTTGTATAACTGAACTGAGTAGTTAAGGGTGACGTCAGCCATAACTAAATTAGAGAAAAAAGTTTACTCCTTTCTTCCGATTTTTTAAATTTATTTTTAATCGTGGTAAAATATACATAAAATTCACCCTCCTAACCATGGAGGGTAAAGCCCAGTAGCATTAAGTATATTCACATTGCTGTGTACCCAACCTCCAGAACTTTTTCATACCCATTTAACAACTCGCCATTCTCCCTTCCCCCAGTCATTGGCAACGACCATTCTACCTTGTTTCTGTAAATTTGACTACTCTAGATACCTGATATAAGTGGAGTCATACAGTATTTTTCTTTTTGTGACGGTCTTGATTCACTTAGCACAGTGTCCTCAAGCTTAAGCCATGCTGTAGCATGTGTTGGAATTTCCTTCCTTTTTAAGGGTAACATTCTACTGTGTGTATTTGCCACATTTTGTTTCTCCATTCATTTGAAGATGGACATGTGAGTTGCTTCCACTTTTTAGCTATTGTGGATTTTTTTCCTGTTTCTTAAATAAAGGCAAATATTTTCTTTTAAGTTGATCCCACTAAGTCTAATCTTTTATTATTATTATTATTTTTTTTTTAATGTTTATTTCTTTTTGAGAGAGACACAGACAGAACTTGAGTGGGTCAGGGGCAGAGAGAGAGGGAGACACAGAATCCAGAGCAGGCTCCAGGTTCCGCGAGCTGTCAGCACAGAGCCTGACGCCGGGCTCCAACTCAGGAGCCGTGAGATCATGACCTGAGCCGAAGTTGGACGCTCAACTGACTGAGCCACCCAGGCGCCCCAACATTAAGTCTAGGCTTTGCCTCACCCTCTTGGCAACTTCTTTAAAAAGCAGGTGTTGGGAAGCACAGGGATGTGGCTCTTCAGACACCAGTTTTGTCTAAATCTGTTTCATGCTCTGTGAAATGAGAAAATTCCTTAATCTTGGTATTACAGTTGTGGGCTAGCATTGGCCAATAGCTCCCTCTATCAGTCAATCTGTCAAACACATTTTATCACCCACTTTAGATAAAAAGTGGTATCGAAGGCCAGGAACTAAGATTCAGTGACCCACCAAATGAAGAAATACTCTCTGCCTTCAAGGCACTTAAAAGTCTACTTCTGGAAATAAGTCAGTATGGTTGAAGGACCCCTGGAAGTCCCTGAGACTCTCCCAGGAGATGTGCAAGGGCCTCTCTATTCTCCAATCTGTGTGAAGCTCAATTTTCTTCCTGTGCTTTACCCAAAACATGTTGCAACACATTGAATGCAGAAGCATTGTTAAGAATCCATTTGTCTTGCATTAAGCCAGACATTAAGGAATTTTGTAAAAATGCAACACAATGTCACTCTTCCCACATTTTCAGATTTTGCTTTGGAAAAGATTTTCCATAAAAATGTTATTTAACATTTTATAAGTTTATTATTGTTATTTTAAAATGAATCTAAAATATGTTAAATTTCTGTTCTGATTTATAATGTAGTAAATAATATGACATAACTCATATATAAGTAAGATTTGGGGTCCACAATAATTTTTTTTTTGAGATGGGGGTGGATGGGAGAGAGAGAGGGAGACAGAGGATCCGAAGCAGGCTCTGCACTGACAGCAGAGTCCAATGCCGGGCGTGAACTCACAAATCTTGAGATTGTGATCTGAGCTAAAGTCAGATGCTTAACTGACTGAGCCACCCAGATGCCCCCCACAATAATTTTTAGATGTGTAACAGGTATTTAAATGCATAAACAGGCTAAGTGTCCAACTCTTGATTTCAGCTCAGGTCGTGATCTCATGGTTCACGAGATCAAGCCCCACATTAGACATCAAGGAGCCTGCTTGGGATTCTCTCTCCCTCTCTTTTTTCTGCCCCTCACCCCCCTCGTGCTCCCTCCCCATCCCTCAAAATAAATAATTTTTTTTTAATGTGTAAGCAGGTATATTGAGACCAAAAAGTCTGAGATCATCTGCTAAAGGAAAAACCTCCAAGACAATCCCAAAAGGATAAAGTAAACAAGAGCTGACTAAAACGCTCTAGTGCAACCTCGAGGATCCCTTTTCCTAAGCTCGACCCTGTAGATAAAAACAGGCACGCAGAGTCACAAAGCCATGCAGTCATAAAGTTCCTTTCCTGATCTGGAAGCTTGGAGGTTACTGGAGGAGCCGAAGCCCCAACATGCTTCACAGTTCATTTGCTCAGCACATATGCGTGGGCAGCCACCACTGATGACAGGTTTCTTGAGTGGCAGCCATATGCCACTGAACTAGGTGCTTTGAATTACCTGTGTCATTCAATAGTCATAGCACCTTATGGACCTTATTAAACCCATTTTACATATTAGCAAAGAGAGGCTTAGATCTGTAACGTGCCCAAAGTCTGTTTTAAGTAACAGAACTGGGATCTGAATAGAAGTCTTTATAGCTTCTGTTCATCCCACTAAGCCATACTGCTTCTCCAATTTCAGACAGTAAGTCAACCCAAAAACCCTGAATTCTACACAGCTTAACAAGACAGAGACATCTAATTCCTGAGATGAGAACTGTGAAAACCCTATTTTAGAATTAGTGGCTCTCCAGCTAGGGGTAGGCGAGGATGTGGTTGACTTAGTTATTTCTTTTTAGAGTTTTATTTTAAATGTTTTTTATTTATTTTTGAGAGAGAGAACATGAGGGGAAGGGCCAGAGAAGGAGAGGGGGACAGAGGATCCAAAGCAGGCTTTGCACAGACAGCAGCAAGCCGGATGTGGGGCTTGAACTCAAGAATCATGAGATCATGACCTGAGCCGAAGTCGGACACTCAACTGACTGAGCCATCCAGGTGCCCCCCAAAATTTTAAGGAATCTCTACACCCATCGTGGGAATCAAACTCAAACCCTGAGATCAAGTCAACAGCTCCACTGACCAAGCCAACCAGGTGCACTTAGTTATTTCTGAAGACCAAAGAATATATGTTTATGAATGATCATTTATTTTTGAGAGAGAGAAAAAGAAAGCATGTGAGCAGGGAAGGGGCAGAGAGAGAGGGAGACAGAGGATCTGAAGCGGGTTCCGAGCTGATAGCAGAGAGCCAGATGCAGAGCTGTAAGTCACAAACCATGAAATCATGACCTGAGCCAAAGTTGGATGCTTAACGGAGCCACCCAGGTGCCTCAGCCAAATATTTTACTTAATATTTGTGCATGTTTATATTGTAATTATGTGTTCAAACAGTAAATCAACCTTATAGTATAGAGCTATTTACATTTGGATGATCTTTCTCAAGAAGACTTCTTCATAGATCAGACTTCTTTTTTTTTAATGTTTATTTTTGAGAGAGAGAGAGAGAGAGAGAGAGAGAGAGAGAGAGAGAGAGGCAGAGCTTGAGCAGGGGAAGGGCAGAAAGAGAGGAGACACAGAATCCAAAGCAGGTTCCAGGCTCAGAGGTGTCAGCACAGAGCCCAACGCAGGGCTCAAACTCACGAGTCGTGGGATCATGACCTGAGCTGAAGCCGGATGCCTAAACGACTGAACCATCCAGGTGCCCCACAGACTTTTAATAAGCACCCAATCATATATGCACAAAATATTTCTGGAAAAATACAAAAGAAACTGGAAACAGTGACTGCTTCTGGAGAGAACTGAGTAACTGAGAACGAAGGTGACAAGGAAACTTAACTTTTTCACTGCATGCCTTGTGTTATCATCTAATGTTACACCATATGTAAGAATTACTTCTTAAAAAAAAAAAACTAATAAAGCAGAACAATGAAAAAAGACACACGCTGTCAGATGGGAACTGCTCAGTCTGTAGTATCAAGAGAGGATGGTAGAGTCTCGGTGAGTAGAATTGTCTGGTTCCCAGAATTTTCAATTCCTTGCCTGCCCAACTCACACTAAGAGCTCTGTAGCTGAACATGCCAGAATGCAGTATGAAAACAGACATTCGGAAGCAGTTATCTGAAGTTTAAAAGTTTGGAGGCTTCCATTGGGGCACCTGGGGGGACCAATCAGTTAAGCATCCACTTCAGCTCAGGTCATCTCACGGTTCGGGAGTTCAAACCCCACATCAGGCTCTGTGTAGACAGTTCAGAGCCTAGAGCCTGCTCGTATCCTGTGTCTCCCTTTCTCTCTGCCCCTTCCCAGCTTGTACTTTTGCCTCTCTTTCTCTCAAAAATAAATAAAACATTTAACAAAAAAAGTTTGGAGGCTTCCCAAAATAGCACAGGGGACTCACTCAAGTGAATGGACATCTGCATAATGAGGTCGGTAGGAAACTGCTTAATTCAAAGTCATTCCAGGAAACACGCTAAAATCCTTGGGCCTGAACCTTGATAGGCAGGCCCACCCATGTGGCATTCTCCAGTCCCCATTTCCTGCAGCAGCCAAAACACATTACTGCCCGTACATCTCCCCTCCATTCAAGAACCAGCATTTGGAGCACCTGGCTGGCTCAGTTGGTAGAGTATATGACTGTCAACCTCAGGATTGTTAAGTTTGAGCCCCACGTTGGTTATAGAAATTACTTAAAAATAAAATCTTAAAAACAAAAAACAAAAAACCCCAAACCAACCGGCATTTATGAGCTCCCCTGAGAAAACGTTTTCCCTCAGCTCCTGCAAACAAACCTACTGCCCATCTCCTTTAAAAGAAAAGCTAAAGTTTGCTGAGCTCTCTGTGCTCTACACGTGGTATCTCGGGTATTAAGTCTGACAACTCAATGAAGTGGGCACTCTTTTTATTTCCATCTTGTAAATGACAACACTGAGGCCCGGAGGTTGAGCAATTTGCCCAAGGGCACACAGCTGGGAACTGACAGCGCCGGGATTAGAACTCACATGTGATGCTGAGCTCCTGCTCTTCACCATGCACTATTACTCACATGGCTCAATACAAGCATTCTGGCATGATCTGGTTGCCCGTGGGGGGCTGGCGGTGGTGGGAATGACAGCTCTCAAAGCTCTGGTCCGTCATTTGTAGTGAACGGGTTGCTGACAACAAGCCAAGACCGACTCCTAGGAAACATCATCATTTAAGTTTATTGATGAGAATTAAGGCTGGAGCCTAGGGCCCAGACCAGGTATCAGAATATGTCATCCGTGCTATAATCTAGTATGGAATCTTACTTTTATGCAACTTCTGGGTACTAAATCATGTGTTGTTTGAGAATAAAGACAAAACTCAAATTCGGAAAAAACTACAGATCTCACTAGACTACTAATGGTAACATAGCTGCCATGTATGAGGCACCAACTCTATTTTATGTGCTGTGTGTATATATATACTTTACACGTATCCTAATCCACAATCCCCAGAGTTAACTGGTTGTACATATCACACAAGAGCCACCTCAGAAATACACATTCACATAAGACCCAAAGAGGTCTCTCTCCATTCTTACTGCATCACGGAACCTCCCAGCAAAGGGGTAGAAACTATTAGTAAGCATCCAAGTGACTCCTAACGGCAGAAGAATCTGGTGGACCACTACTTTAATTTTCACGTCTGATAAAGCATTTTCACAAAGAGAAACATTTTCAGCTTCTCACCTATACGGGGAAACAAGCTCATACAAATGGCTGCCCAAAAACCAGAGCAGGATTTGAATACAAATCTCTCTGGCTTCAGAGCCAAGACAAGTATCATTCTGCCTACTCTTAAATCAATGCCTGAGTCAGAGAATGCATACTGAATTTTGTGGTTTGTGCTTCCGCTTCCACGGACTTGTTTGGTAAAAAAATCATTACCTCTTTCGGTGCAAAGCAAATCTTAGATTGGAAATACAGTAAAACAACAATAACAACAAACAATATTAGCATTTGTACACTCACAGCTTTCAGGGTCCTCAGAAAGAGCCTATTTGATCCTGCCATTTTCCATGAGGCGGGAAGGCAGTGCAAGTATTAACTATGATGCTTTACTACTGGGAAAACGGAAGCACAGAGCTAAGTAACTTGCTCAAAAGCTTACAGACTGTCCCATGGAGAAATGGTGACAATGCTTTTCCCACCAGGCAGCACTACTGCTATAAATGTATAGCTTCTCCTCTCTCGTACACTGATGTCTAGTGTCTTGTCAGACTCCAGGAAAGGGAGTGAAAAATGACAGGGTGAAAAAATGACCACCAGGGATGGATGGCTTGAAGTGGGATGTGAGTGGTCTCTGACGCAGTGAGATCTGGGTTCAAATACTAACTCCATCTCTTACGTTCTCTGGGATCTGGACAATTAATCTGAGCTCATTTTTCATCATTCAAAATGGGAAATAATGGACTCAATCAACATTTACTAAGAAACTCAGTGTGTCCAGCCATGTGTCACTAGAGGCATTTTATCGTTTTATGCATTTTTATCATGCATTTTAATCAATAATTTTTCACAGAAGCAAGGGAGGATTTTAGAGATGGATCTGGTGCTAAATCTTGAAGGGTAACTAGAAGTTATGTAAGCAGAAAGAGTTAGGGGTACCCAGAAAAAGAAAGAGAAGTCATTTTAGGGGTGCCTGGGTGGCTGTTGGTTAAGCATCCAGCTCTTGAATTCAGCTCAGGTCATGATCTCACTGTTTGTGAGTTTGAGCCTGTGTTGGGCTCTGTGCTGAAACCACAGCGCCTGCTTGGGATTCTCTCTCTCCTTTCTCTGCCCCTCCCTTGCTCTCTCTCTCAAAATAAATAAATGAAACGAAACAAAATGAAACGAGAAAAGAAAAGAAAAGAAAAGAAAAGAAAAGAAAAGAAAAGAAAGAAAAGAAAAGAAAAGAAAAGGTCATTTTAGGTCCCAGCTATTTTCTATGATATATGACTAACCAGCTCTTCTTCTTCTTCTTCTTTTTTTATTTTATTTTATTTTTATTATTATTTTTTTTAACGTTTATTATTTTTGGGACAGAGAGAGACAGAGCATGAACGGGGGAGGGGCAGAGAGAGAGGGAGACACAGAATCGGAAACAGGCTCCGGGCTCTGAGCCATCAGCCTAGAGCCCGATGCGGGGCTCGAACTCACGGACCGTGAGATCGCGACCTGGCTGAAGTCGGGACGCTTAACCGACTGCACCACCCAGGCACCCCTCTTCTTCTTTTTTAAATATTTATTTATTGTTGAGAGAGAAAGCCTGAGCAGGGGAGGGGCAGAGAAAGAGGGGGACAGAGGATCCAAGCAAGCTCTGCACTGACAGCAGAGAGCCCAATTCGAGACTTGAATTCACAAATCATGAGATCCTGACCTGAGCCAAAGTTGGACAATTAACCCACTGAGCCACCCAGGTGCCCCCAAGCATCTCTTCTTGCTCTAGCACACTTCTTGTAGAACTTACAAGGTGTCAGAATTACAAAGAAATGTAAAAAACTCAATAGCTAAGGACTTTAAGGGAAGAATGAGAATGCAAAAACTAACAACAGATTCAACTAGGCCAGGAAGTAGCCTAACCATATCAGAGACAATGAATCAGTGGCAAAACTCCCAGGGCTGTTTCAAAAGTAAGCAAGGCCTTTCACTGCTTCCCCAAGATAAGGAGCCCAAGACCCAATCCAGTTTATGGCTCTTCAGCAGGCCCATAACCCCTTCCCCAGGTCCAACAGTTACCTCTGCTTCATTAGAATGTTAAAATCTTCACCCACAGCAGAAACAAACTTCATTAACACAACAGACAATGCTAAATCAGCAGGTTTCCTTAAGACAAGTGTATGACCTTATACCCACCTCTACCTATAATGACTGAAACTCCCCTTTCTGAATATCCATCCTAACCCTAAATGAAAGAAACCCATTTACCCCTACTCAGGGGGTCACAGATTTCAAAGTGATTTCCTTATTTGCTGCAAATAAGTTTCTGTTGTACAACAATTCCACCTTGGGACGCCTGGGTGGCTCAATCGATTGAGCGTCCGGACTCTTGATTTTGGCTCAGGTCATGATCCCAGGGCTGTGGGATCGAGCCCTGCATTGGGCTCTGCACTGAGCATGGAGCCTGCTTAAAATTTTCAATTTCTCTCTAAAAAAAACGAACAAACAAAAACAAAAACCAAAAAACAACAAAAAACAAAACCACAACTCCACCTGGTATAGTCTCTATCTGCAACTCACCAAGGAGTGAACTCATATTAGTTTGGTTGCAGTTAGACCTGGAGTGTAAAACGCAAGATGCCAGTGGGGGCCAGGCAAATTGGGTACATGGGCAGAGCAGACTGGATAGAGCCACCAGCCCCCGGCTCCACACAAATGACGCTATGCAGGATCAGGGCCCCATGCAACCAGATGAAGCAAGGTCCAGATTTCTCTGTGGAATCTCTCAAGTTTTAAGTGTTAGAACTTGACTTCTAAGAAATCATGAGAACAACAGAAGGACAAACATAATCTGTGAGCCACATCTTGCCTACAGGCTGTCGTCAGTTTCCTGAGTTAGCCCCAGGAGAGAGGAAGGACACTTCAGTCACTTGGAAATACACTTACAAAGTCAAGACCTTGGGAAGGGCAGCTTGGTCAGGGAGCTGCATGCCATTTGGCTTGGTTGGAGCACGAGGGACAGGAAGCTGGCCAAAGGGCAATCCATCGAGACCTGAGACATAAGCGTGCAAAGCAGCACCAGCCACTGAGTGAGCTCAGTGCTGTATGTGCCAGTTCACATAATGACCATCACTGAGTGGGACACACCCCTGAATTAGGGACGAGAGCCCTGTCCTGTCCACCCCATCAGCAGGAGGGTCTAGGCAGGAGCACAGCCATCCTACCACTGCTATTTTGCTGCTCCGTATGTGATAAACACATGAAAGAATGGCATCGAGGAACTCATAGTAAGATGGATTTTATCTACAAAACAATGCAAATTCCCTCTGCAACTAGGAGACATTTTCAACTATTATTCATAAAATTATTAATCAAAACAGCAAAAGCAGATTTACAAAGCTACATTATCAACAACAAAACAGGAAGGAAATGTTTGACAGACATCTTGAAAAGTTTCAAAGGAATACACACCAGACTAAAAATCTACAGTTAAACCGTGGTTGCACAACAGGTTATATTCACTCCTGCATTTTCTCAATAAGTTCTTCCTTATATTTGCCTTTCTCTTTTCCAACTTGTCGAGATTTGGCTTTGCGTTCAAGAATTTTTTTCCGGTCTTTGTCCAGTTTTAGCCTGGTGATAACTACCTGTTAGGAGTGAGAAAATAAATCTTTATTTATTTATTTTTTAAGTGGAAAGGATTTATAACCATGTAATTATTCTGTACAGCAGAACTTTTCCCAACAATAGCAGTTTGGTTCCTTCCGCTGCCCAACTCCTAAGGATCTATGAGACCAGTTAGTTTAGTGATATCAACTATCATTTGGGCTGGGACAAACAAATTATACTACCAACATGTTTCTGGTTTGTTTATCATCCCTTGGCCAGCAAAACGCATTGCTTAAAAAACATCGCTTAAGGGGCGCCTGGGTGGCGCAGTCGGTTAAGTGTCCAACTTCAGCCAGGTCACGATCTCGCGGTCCGTGAGTTCGAGCCCCGCGTCAGGCTCTGGGCTGATGGCTCAGAGCCTGGAGCCTGTTTCCGATTCTGTGTCTCCCTCTCTCTCTGCCCCAGAGCCTGGAGCCTGTTTCCGATTCTGTGTCTCCCTCTCTCTCTGCCCCTCCCCCGTTCATGCTCTGTCTCTCTCTGTCCCAAAAATAAATACAAAAAAAAAAGTTGAAAAAAAAAAAATTAAAAAAAAAAAAAAGCACATAGCTTAAAAAACCATTCCCACCAGCCAGTAGGCAATAGAGATCGTAAGGATAAGTAAGACCACAACCATCCTGCCCTCATCTGAAACTCTGGAGGAGAAAGACCCTACGATACAGTGCATGGAATGGAGTGCAAATGAGGAACAGCATATTCTGCCAGGTGGATGTGAGGGCCACAGGAAGAGATGTTCCTTCCCTCTCCTCCCTCTGGATGTTATCTAGTAGGAGAGGGATGCCTGGAACCCTCCTGCAACCTGCTGGAAGGCAGAGCCTTCACCGAGGATGATAAAACAGGTAAGAAAACAATACGGATCCTTGATGACTAAGCCAGTGAACCAATCAAGCCTGCCCCACCTCCCTCTAGAAGTCCTTGCCTGGGCCACCTGAGTAGACACTACCAACACACTGAGAACTTACAACAGCACTAAGCTACACTACCCAGCCACTACCGCCACTCAGTCCCGCCATACCTTGCTGGGGTGAATGCCCACATGAACAGTTGTACCATTAGCCTTCTCACGCTGCACTCGCTCGATGTAGATGACATACTTTTTTCTGTACACCTGGACTACCTTGCCTATTTGCTGACCTTTGTAGTGTCCTCGAACCACCTAAGAGAAAATACAGAAGAGAATTTTCCCCCATTCTCATGCATGAACATCACCGTGAGGAAATTAATTATCAGGAACACACAGACTAACATACAACTTTTTGTACAAAGCAGATTAACCCTGGCAGTCGAGAGTTAGCTTTTTGGGGGGTATAAATCTGCTCTGTGTTGTTCCAAGTCAGGTGAAAATTCACTTCAATTTTTTTCTTATCTGAAAACAAAAAATTCCTTGAACTAGAATGGCTATCACAGAACTAGTCTGGAGAGTAAAAAGGTAAATCACTATACACCCACAACTAACACAATCTTATATACCAATTATATCTCAGTTAAATAAAAATAAGTAAAGTTTAAGAAAAAAGATAATCACTCTCAAGATCTAAATGGAGAAGAATGGTTAAAGATAGCATCCTGAGATTCTTATGCGACCATTTAAAATCCCATGTTTTTTTTTTTGTTAATGTTTTATTTACTTTTGAGAGAGAAAGAGAGAATGTGTGCGCGTGAGCAAGGTCGGGGGAGAGGGGAGGCAGAGAGAGAGGGAGACAGGATCCAAAGCAGGCTCTATGCTGACAGCACAAAGCTGTATGTGGGCTTGAACCCACCAACTGTGAAAGATCATGACCTGAGCCAAAATCGGACACTTAACTGACTAAGCCACCCAGGTGCCCCTAAAATCCATGTTTTCAAAGAATAATTTATCACCGAGCAAAATGCTCAAGATATGACCTTTAGGAAAAAAAAAAACAAAGCTTTATATGAAATATAGTCTGAATCTTGTATGTTTCATATATATGGCATATAACACAATGGGATAGAAATATATCCAATTGACACTCAACTGACTGAGTCAGGAGTGAATATAACCTGATGTGCAACACGGTTTAACTGACCCAGACACCCTAATTACACATGTCTTTTTAAAAAATGTATATTCTTCCAGGGGCGCCTGGGTGGCTCAGTAAATTAAGTGTCTGACTCTTAATTTCGGTTAGGGTCATGATCTCACAGTTCATGGGATTGGGCTCCACATCAGGCTCTGCTCTATATATATATAGAGCCATCTATACCTGCCATCTATACCTGCCATCTATACCTGGCTCTATACCTGCCATCTATACCTGATGGTATGGATTCTCTCTCCCTCTCTCTCTGCCCCTCCCCTGCTTGTCTGCCCTTGAGTTGTCTCTCTCAAGATAAACACTTAAAAAAATAAAAAATGTATTTTCTTTCAAATTTCAAGATTTCTATAATTAACACAAATATTTTATAGTCACGAAAAACAAAAATGTTAAAATCTCTTGGGCTGTTTTCATGTACTAAAAATCTACTATTCATACTCCAATGCTATTCAAAACTAACTAGATTATGGTTTCCTTGAAGGCACAAGCCTATTCAATAGGAGCCATGATATAGCTGATCCTGATAATAAACAGAGAGGAAATACCACATGTATTAAAAAACTAGAGAATCTCAATACTCCTGAAATGTCATTTAGATTGTTCAACTTACTCACCAAGGTGATTTTCAGGCTGAAGATCATGCCTCACTGGAACTCCACCATACTCTCTATGATCAGAGACTTTTACATGGAAAAGTCTATGAAATAGCCTCTCTTAACCATCATCAAGATTCAAGAAAAGATGTTAATAAAACAAGTCCAAAAGAACACCCGGTTAAACAGAACTGGACAAACACTAGATGAGGAGAGGGACAAGGTAAGACTAAACTAACTGGCCTGGAAAGGGAAAAGAGGAGAGGCAAGGATGGTACCCAGAGTCTGACTGGGCAACTGGATGGATGGATACGCCTTTCCCAGAGCAGAAAGAAATACATGTTAGGAGAAAAAAGTTTAGTTGGGAACATGTTGAACTTGAGGCATCTCGTGACATTCTAGTAGAGAATTCTATACATAGCTGAAAGACCAACTGGGTCAGCAACAGAGACCTGGGAGTCATCCAGAGATGGCAATTCAGAAACCTGATTTGGTTCAGGGAGCCGGTCTTATGAGGGCAGAATGCAGAAATCCAAGGAAAAGCCAACATTTTGGAAGAGCTCATAAGGGAGACTGAAGTGGCCAGAGAATGGGCAACCAGGGGAGTGTGGGGTTATAGTAGCCAAGAAGACACTGTCAAATGCCATGGAATGGTCAACTGCAGGAAGGATAAAGGAAAAGATGTGACAATAAGCTGGTCACTGGTGATCATGGCTAGAGTGCTTTCAGTGGAGCAGAGACTGAAGGCATTTACAGTAAGACAATGAGTTCCCCATAGAGAAGGTGAAGGCGAAAAACAGTCCCAAGGAACCTGGCTGTGAAGAGGATGACAGAGAATATCTACTAGAGGGAGATGTGAAGGTAAGTGATAATTTTTTTTTTTAAAGAGAGGAAAACACGAATGTGTTTAAATGCTTATGAAAAGGAACAAGTATGGAGGAAAAGTTAAAGGAAACTGTACAGAAAGGGGAAAATGGAGAGAAGAATCTAAGAGAATGGAAGGCCACTGAATATAGTGGATCAGCTCTAGACAGAAACAGGAACATTTCTGTCAATACAATAGGAAAGCACAAAGACGCAGGGGTGGAACTGGAGGTAAGTTAAAGGGTTTGGAACAGGAGTTCTGAAAGGTCCTGCGTGATAGTTGTAATTTCCTCTGTGAAGCAGGACAGGTAGCCCTGAGCAGACAAAGAAAGTATGTGAAATTTGGAAGATCCCAAAAGAGAAGAGGCAGTTTTAACAAACCCACTTGCGACTATTTTACTCTTCTGGTGGAGTCGGACCCGGATTCCTGGCCTAGACGTGATTTTCTTCATTTATTGAACCAGAGTTTCAGGTTCTATCTACAAGGGAAACAATTCACACCTCACAGACACTGAAAAAATGGCCACATCTTCTCCTCTGCCCTCCTTTTCTTTCTTTCACGTCTTAATTCCATCCGCTCAATAATTTTTTTCATTCACCCAACAAAGAGTGGCTGGGCCCCTGTGGGTGCCAGGCTCTGCACTGAGGTCAGGCAACAAAAAAGAGAAGCTCTCTGGCCTCATCTTAATGTAATAGGTAGCAAGCAGTTAACTAATAAACACGCAAATACATGATCACTAACTGCAACAGGGCACACGGGAAGTGACGGGGATCATAATGGCGGTGACAGCTATATGGCTTTACGTGTGCCCAAACTCACCTGTGCATTTTACTGTCTCTAAATTACGCCTCAGTTTTATTTACTTTTCTTTCATTTGTTGAACCACTGAGTAATTCACCAACATGGCACAGAAGTACAACAATAAGTGCTAAGGGGGATGCTGGAATGACTGAAGTAACAGGCACAAAAATTAGGACTACAGAAAGTTTCAGGCTTCAGAAGGGGGTCAGGGGGAGAGATCTCACGTGTTTTGAGAGAAGTATTCCTTTGGCGCCCAAATGGGATGGGGGAGCTCTGAGACATACATTGTGAAGGGGTGACCATAAGAAGATCTGAAAAACTGCCCTGTTGGCCAGACATGTCAGTTAGTTGTCTGGGAAAGTAACCAAAAGGTTTTCATCATTTGGTAGCAACTGGAGGCTACTACAGATTTCTAAAGAGAGTGATGTGTAAAAAGTTGAGAAGCTAGAGGCAGGGGACTCTTGAAATAATCTGGATACAGAATCCTGGGAGCTACAAAGGAGTGTAGAGACGACAGGCTGTTTTAAAAAAGTGGCAAATACTGGGCACAGCGTGAGGTTGAAGGAGATGGGTTAGAGTACGTTTAAATGTGCAAGCCTTGGAGGAAGCGTGAGAAGGCGGCAGCTGTCAGGCACAAGTGGAAATTGGGTCAAGCTGAAGTGCTCTTGTGGAGATAATGAGTTCCGAAAAACCAGCCCAAAAGACGAGAGGACCGTCAAGAAGGAGCAGGAACATAAACCAAATTGAATGTGCAGATTTGGAGATGCGTGTGTCAAAATGAATGCCACAACTTCAGGGGGGTTCGGGGGAGCGCACCGCAGAGAAAGAAGAACTGGGCAAGGGTAAATGTTCACAGGCGAAAGGTGAGGCAGCTTCACAGGTGAGAGAGAACTGGCAAAACCCTCATGAGGAGAACACAGCTGTGACCTTAACACGGAAGCCAGAAAGGACAGTATTCTGATGAGCGTCTCCTTGGCTACTAGTCATGGCTCCTCTGAGCTTAACCTGAAGTTGCCTAGAATCCTCAAGAGTTATCAAAGGCAGAAAAGACGTGTTCCTCCCATGAGTCCGGCTTTGAATCAGTGCCTTCAGAGAGAGAGAATAGGTTTCAAAATTCTGACCTTGAGAGTCAGGGTCAGAGATTGCCCTCTCCAACCGTGCTGGGATGTGGCAGGCAGTTCACATCTATCTCAAGAGGCAGCTAGGGCTTCCATCATTTCATTTCAGTTCCATGAGCAGAGTGGTGGAGCAAAAGGCCCAGCCTGGCCGAGGTCGAAAGGATTTCCCACTGTGATGTCATGACTCGGCACGCCTGTTCTGGAACCACACCTGGATCCTGGGCTCAGGGATGAGCGCAGACAGGCACTGGCACAGGTGGCTGTCGAGGAACAGAGTCCGGAGGAAGATGAACTCCAGCTACTCCAGGCTGAAGGACGCGTGCTCGTGGCTCTGTGATGCCAACGGGGCAGCCACGCCTTTGGGGGGGTGCAGATGGGCCCGGTACGCCTCAGTTTAAAAAGAAATAAAATCAAATTGAGTTCACTGTTATGAAAGAAATGTAAATAGAGGATGCTACGATAGAATACTGGTTAAAGTATCTGGGAAGGCTTTTCTGAGGAACTGACATTTAAGGTAACAGTGAAAAATGAGGGGTTAGTCAGGTAAAGGGGAGAAGGAAGAGCACTTCAGGCAGAGGGACCATTCTGGGCAAAGACCCCGAGGGAGGAAAGATCAAGGTGCATTTAAGGACCTGAAAAGGTCAGTATGTCTGAACTACAGAGCAGGTGGGCATTAGAGAATAAGGTGACGTTGGAGAAGTAGACCACGACTGGGTCACACAAGGCCTTGTCAATGATTTTAGGTTTATAGTAAGCAATCAAGCAACACTGATAGGGTTTAAGTAGAATCTGATTTGCAAAAAATACCCCTCTGTGAAGAACGCCTGATCAGGATTAAGAGTAGAAGCTGGAGAAGTCTTGAACTGAAATGGAAATGGAAAGAAGTGATCAGATTCAAGACACATTTTAGAGACAGAATCAATAAGATTAAGTGACAGAGTAGAAATGGGTCAGGGAGAGAGAGATATTAGAATTTAGAGGTTTATGGCGTAGGCAAGTGAAAAAGCATTGCTTACTGAAGTGTGAAAGATGGGAGGAGAATCCGATTATAGAGGCAGTAGCAGTTTTTTGATCGAGAGCACTCCCAGATTGGAAGCTTGAGCCGACATGAGGTTTTTAAAGCGTTTATTTTTGAGAGGGAGAGTGCAAGCGTGGGAGGGGGAGAAACAGATGAGGAGAGGATCCGAAGTGGGCCCTGCACTGACAGCAGAGAGCCCGATGCAGGGCACGAACTCATGAACTGTGAGGTCATGACCTGAGCCGAAGTTGGACACTTAACTGATTGAGCCACCCAGGTGCCCCTGGGACGACCGTGAGATTAAAAAAAAAAAAAAAAAAAAAAAGATGTGGGGCGCCTGGGTGACTCAGTCGGTTAAGCGGCTGACTTCGGCTCAGGTCATGATCTCGTGGTCCGTGAGTTCGAGCCCCGCGTCGGGCTCTGTGCTGACAGCTCGGAGCCTGGAGCCTGTTTCGGATTCTGTGTCTCCCTCTCTCTGACCCTCCCCTGTTCATGCTCTGTCTCTCCCGGTCTCAAAAATAAATAAAACGTTTAAAAAATTTTTTTAAAAATTAAAAAAAATTTAAAAGAAAGATGTTCAGCGGATAGTCATATCTACAGGTCTATGCTCAGAAAAGTGGTTTGGGCTGGGATATAAAAGAGGGAATTGTTAGCATAGGACAGACATTTAAAGCTCTCAGAGCAGGTATTATCACCCAGGCAGACAATGTAGGTAAGATGAGATGTTAGACCAGGTGCAGGCCCTGACTAACTCCAGCATTTAGAGATCAGAGGAGAAACAGCCAGCAAAAGAGTCTGAGAAGGCAGAAGTAAACTGAGCCCGAATGGTCACAGGAGCCAAAAAGACAGACTATTTCTAGAAGTGAGGCAGTGCTACCTATGCCAAATGCTGCTGAAAAAGTCAAGGATGATGAGACCAAGATGTGTCCACTGGATTTTGTCATAAACATGTTACTGATCTCAGCCAAAAACAGTTTCTATGAAGTAGTAAGAAAGAGATCAGATTGGAGAGGGTCTAGAACGACACCTGCTCCATACATATTCAATCCACTCCCTGTCTATTTCAGTCATCCCCCACGCTCCCTTTCTTACCACACATCCTAAGCTCTAGGAAGAACAGAAGGCTTATACTCTCTCACATGGGTCATTCTCTTTCATAATTTCATGCTTCTGACTTGCTGCTTCTCTATTCTCTCTGCCAAATCCAGTGCCACCAAATGCCCAGCCTCCACTAAATCCAATGTTACTGAAACATGAATTACTCTCATCGTAGCACTTTCCCCTGGAGATGCTGGTTCAAAGAGCCACCACGAGCAATGCCTGGCAAACTTGGAGCCAACGGACTAAACCGAAAAGCAAAGTTTTGCTTGGCTGGTATACTATTTTCCTGAACAATCATGATTACTAAAGAATTGTATCTGAATGCTCTCAGTTAATCTGGGTAGGCACACCCTGCGGGCTGTGGATACATCTGCAAGGTTACTTGCCAGGGGCCTGGCGGCATGGGAGTCTACGACTCCCCCACGTCCAAGCACACATGGCATTCTTAGGCAAAGCCGGCACCAGAGTGACACGCTTCTGGATGACCAGAGCTCGAGGGAGACGAACCTGGACTTCGTCGTCCTTACGGATGGGCATGGAGCGGACGTTGTACTTCTGCCGCAGCTCCTTGGAGAGCGGGGAAGACATGATCTTCCTGCGCACGTGCGAGGGGGCATTGAAGTGGCGTTTGCGGTTTTTGCTGCGGTCCGAGGTCACGAAGGGGTTGAACTTCATGCTGGCCGTCTGCAAAAAGAGGCGCGGGAACGAGTGATGGGTGCTCAGTCGGGTGCCATGGCCCGCTCTCCATCCAGGACACTCCTCCCATCCCTGCGCAAGAGCTCTACGGGAGGAGATGGCCTCAGAAGGTGATGGAGGGAGGAGAATGGGGCAAATGAGGGGTCTGGCTGTGACACAGTAAGGCATGCGTGGGGAGCGCGTGCCTGAGCAGAGGAGTCGTGGGAACAGGGCGGCAGTGGGGCCTCGAGGCTCACTGTCAGAGGAAGGTTTGGACGGCTGGAGAAGAATGCATGCTTGGAGGTCACGCAGAGATCTCTGGGGAGACGGGCGGCCCCGCGGCGCGTTGGGGAAGAATCCAATGGGGCGGAGCGCTTCTCACTCGGACAAAACACCTGCCTCTCTCTACTCACCTTGCACCAGTCAGGCTCAGACGGCGCGCGCGCAAGGCCGGAAGTGAGGACTTCCTTGCCGCGCAAGCGTAGAGAGGAAGCGGAGTCCCTTTCCGGTCAGAAAGAGACTGAATGGCGCCCCCTGCGACTTGGGGTGGGATCGCAGTGCCTCATTCTAAGGGAGCCACCCCAGGGCCATGCCGCTTTCGGGGGTCAAGCCAGAAGCCACGAAGAGTTGGCACCGCGGGGGAGAAGGGGCGTATTTCTGTAGGGCCTGCAACAGAGGCCTATTGGTGTGTTAAAAATAGGTACGCCAATAGTCTGTTTCTCATCCCAAACTTTCTTTGCCTGCGTTACCCTCCGCCGAGAGGCATATTGAGCATTCCTGATGATCCAGATGCAATCGGCTGACTTGCTTCTTTAGAAACACTGAGAAGCTTGTTCAAAATTTAAAAAAAAAAATTTAATTAAAAAACAATTTTTTTTTAAACGTCTATTCATCTTTGAGAGACAGAGGGAGACAGAGCATGAGCGGGGAAGGGGTAGATAGAGGGAGACACAGAATCTGAAGCAGGCTCCAGGCTCCGGGCTGTCAGCACAGGGCCCGACGAGGGGCCCGAACCCACGAACTGCGAGATCATGACCTGAGCCGAAGTTGGACGCTCAACCGACTGAGCCACCCAGGCGCCTCCAAAATGAAAATTTTTGTGCTCCATCACAGTCGTAAGAAACCACGCAGTGGTAAGTGGGGGTTTTAAAGCAAGCACTCCCCTCGTCCTGCCCACCCAAAGAATTTGAGGTGCAACAATAGGGCGTTGAGAACCAACCACCTGGTCTTGCAAAACTTTCCCCCAGTGTTTTAGCCCTGTTGGGGAGGGCTGGGGTTGTAGAGTCAGACCTGAACCCAAGTGCCTCTTCCCGTGGCTGGATCTTGGGGAGATGCCTGCATGTTTCTGAGCCTCAGTTTTGTCCTCTGTGAAATGGGGATGATCTCAGTAGGTGCCTCATAGAGTTGTTATGAGAACTAAGTGATCTAATCCGTTGGGAATGTTTAGAACAGGGTCTGGCGCATAGCTCTTAATTACAGTAAGCCGTTATTCCTAATGAAAGCAGAGGCCTATGTGTGGGGCTTCCTTCAGGCCAGCCCTAAAGCCGGGCCTTACATCCATGAGTCCTCACATTCAGACTTTCACCATTAACTACCGATGACGCAAACAGTAAGCTTTTTGTGTTTGAAGTAAACACATTCAATGCACCTTGGGGAAAAACCAGCTGGGGCCTCGGCAGTCAGAGCTCGCCTGCAAGTTTGTGGCCGCTGCCCCGCCCTGCTCATCCCGGCCACGCCCCCCCGGATTCCAGCCCCAACCTCGGCCCCCCGCGTTCCCGCCTCGCCCCGCCCAGTAGTGTCCGAGCCCCGCCTCCCCTCCCGGGCAGACAGCCCGGAGACGCGGGCGCCACCCTACGGGCAGTCAGCCTGAGACACCCCGCGCGCGAGGCAGCTGGGAATGAAAGGTTTCGTTCTGCTCATAGAGTTTACATAGTTCATATGTATTAAGCACCTACTTTACGCCACATGTCAGAAGACGTTGTGGTGCTCAATCAACAGGCACCCCGAAATTCAGAGAGAGGGTTGTCTTGCTAGACTCAAGCAGGTCCCCTGCTCTCTCCGTTTATTAGTGTCCCCAGGCATATGGTGACGCAGTTGTCAAACACTAGCATTTTACTCTGCCTCATGATCAGCCAGGGCATCTGCCTTGATCCCTGAACCCGATGGGTCCTATTTTAGGTTTCACTCTAGAACGCTTGCAGTCAGTGTTGGAGACTTCTGGCCTTCAGACTTAGGGAGGATGGCCAACATCCGGACTGTTTGTAGACGCCAGGGCATTAGGGTGAGCGGTGCCAAACTTGTTGAGGCAGTGGCAACTGGAAAGCCACCCGTTGTGGGTGCCCCAGACTCCAAGAGTAAGGAGGTTGGAGGGAGAAGCCTAAGAAAGGAAGACTTTCTTAAATGTCTCTGCCACAAAGGAGAAATGGCAATTATGTGAGGTGATGAAGTGTTAACTCAGCTACTGTGGCAATCATTTTGCAGTAGCAACTCAACCTTAAACTCCTAAAGTTATAGGTCCGTTATAGCTCAAAGTTGGGACCAAAAAAATGTCACTCACCACGGGAAGGCAGGAATAGAAGCTCTTATGACCGACTGCACATAGAAAGTCAGAGGGTTCTTCTCAAGCAGCCCTTACAGTGTTCATCAGACCCAAGGTCCCTTACCTCCCCTCCCCCATAAGTTCATTTAGTCACTCACTGGCATAACTCATTTGCCTACTCATTTATTCCAATATTCATCCATTTGTGCATTAATTTATTGATAGGTACTAGTAATTTAGCCATAGTATGGGCCTAGATCAAGGAGCTCTGGGGAGGAGGAAGATCTATCTAGTCCCTGATTACAGTGAGGAGCGCAGAACCTCACTGGTGCAGGGCAACCTTGAGGACAGATCATTACAACCCAGGATAATCAAGGTATATTCATGATCAACCAGGGTGGGGAGGCGATACTTGACCCTCCTTCTCCCACGGCTCAGTAAAATTAAGACAGGTGCAATGACATCACCAGATGAGACCCTGAGAGCCTGAGGCTTTGTCACTCTAATGAGGACTTAGTGGGCTTGGCTACTATCTTGCCCCATGTCCACTCTTGGTAACACACATGGGAACTGGTATAGAAGCCCCAGGACCTAATACAGTGGTAGCACAGAGGAAACGCCCGGGAAATATTTTTATGCCTCTGAGGTAGAAGGTGATGTGGTGGGGAAACGTGTGCGCCCTGATTCTGACTGCCTGGGTTTGGATCTCCATCACTTCCTGGCTGTGTAGGTTTGGGTAGGATATTGAGCCTCTTAGAGGTCACTCACCTTCCTCACCTGAGGAATGAGAATAATGATAGTACTTACATTATTGATTTGGTGTCAGGATTAAATGAACCCTTAGCACAAGCCTTGGCACAAAGTAAGCACTTAATTAATGGTAGAAATTGTTGTTTATTAAGTGAATGAATAGCAATGGCTAATCTTATTTGGCTGCGCATTTAATGCCAGGCATTGTGCTAAGTTTTACAAACACTACCTTACTTAATCTGGTAAACAATCCCCTGAATTGGTCCCTTTTGCAGGTGAGAAAACAGGTTCCGAATGAGATGGGAACAGGCTGAACATGATCCACCATTACATACTCAACATGCTTATTGTTATCTTGTAGCCACTAGAGATCAGGATGAGATCTATCAGTAACATAGGAGGATGTCTACTGGAAGAGAGTAAACCGCAAAATAATATTAACAGCATGATCCCATTTTGTTTGTGGGAGGATATGACTAAAATGTTAACAATGATTATCTCTGGCTAGTGGAATCAGGGGTCCCTTTAATTTTTCCTTTTTTTACTTTTTGCCTGTCTGATTTTCCTCCAGTGGGGCCATGAGCATGTCTTATTTGTGTAATTAAAACCATGTTTAAGGGCCTTACATTTTTCAACGTTTATTTATTTTTGGGACAGAGAGAGACAGAGCACGAACGGGGGAGGGGCAGAGAGAGAGGGAGACACAGAATCGGAAACAGGCTCCAGGCTCCGAGCCATCAGCCCAGAGCCTGACACGGGGCTCGAACTCACGGACCGCGAGATCGTGACCTGGCTGAAGTCGGATGCTTAACCGACTGCGCCACCCAGGCGCCCCTAAGGGCCTTACATTTTTAACAAGATCTCCAATATTCAAGTTAGCTTCCCTTGCAGGCTGTTTAGAAAGAAGGAAACAACACAAAGTACCCTCACCACTTTCAATTTCCCCCATTTTGGGGGGGGGGGTGCGGGGGTCAGTTTTCTCTTTTGATATGGACAAGATGACCTTGGGGACCGAGGCAGAACCATAATCCAGAGTCAGGCGGACAGGAGTTTGAATTCCAACTTTGTCCCCTGCCAGCTGTGTGACAGAGAAAAGTTACTAAATTTGTCTTGTCCTTTGTAAAAAGGAGGTAACTTCCACCAGGCAGGACTGCTGTGAGGATAGAGAAAGACAAGGCCTGAACGATCACTCCTTGCAGGCACGTGGAGAATGCCCAACCGTGGGTAGCTTTTTCTACATGAGTTAAGACAAAAACAACTTATTTTGGGCAGAACAAAGTGCATGGCCTCGTCACTACACGACTGACCAAAGACAACTGTTGGGGAGGGAAAAAGGTCTTTAATGAGCACATTTCTTAGGAAGGCGTTAGGACTACCGGTGGCCTGCCACATTGAGAAAATGTGTATCTTTGTCTCTGGCAAGAATTGAGAACCAATTTGCGACATAGAGTAGTAAGAAATGCACCTGCCACTTCCAAGCCCCATTGCTACAAGACACTTCTCCCCAAACTTCACACCCACTCTGACACCCGCCCACCTCAGGCAGCATGGGCTGCAGGACTTGAGCTTCTCTCTTCCCTGATGCACCTCTGTAACCTCACCCCCTGCTCAACTGCAAGCCCCTCCCCACCCCAACCCCGCCCCCGCAAGAAGCCATTTCTGCCCGAGCCACCACGTCCCCAAACTATCAACTCCCCCTCTACGAATCTGTGCTATAATCCCTGATTGAGAAATCCTCTTATGCGAAAACGCTGTAATCTGCTCTTGGTTAGATAGTTGAAAGAATTGGTTTAAGAGAGAAATCATACAAATGACACATACCTTAAATGTTTTACGTCCACTTAAAAAACATTTGCCAATCTTTTGACCCTGGAGCAAGGTTTTCTCATGGAGAAACCTCCCCATTGGAGTTCTCCTTCACTTTCCTTGCATAAACCATGTCCTTACATAAGCCAACTTGAGAGAGTTCCAGTTTTGGGTTCCTTAAATGTGGAGGGAGAATTTAGACCCTTTCCATGTGAATACAGAATCTTCAAGGACGCCCCCCTCCCCCGCACCCCTTCTTCCCAGGTCTTTTTAGTAAGAGGTCTTGCTCGTACCTAATTTGGGAGCATTTTGAGGAGGGGGGTGGCAACTCGCCTTTATCAGGTCTCTGCAAAGTGTACAACTTAGTTGTACTAGATTCTTTCATTTTCCTTTTCTTGTTTATTTATTTTTGAGAGAGCACAAGCAGGGGAGGGGCAGAGTGAGAGGGAGACCCAGAATCTGAAGCAGGCTCCAGGCTCTGAGCTGTCAGCACAGAGCCCGATGCGGGGCCTGCACTCATGAACCGTGAGATCATAACCTGTGCCGAAGTCGGACGCTTAACCGACTGAGCCACCCAGGCGCCCCGATTCTTTCATTTTTCAATCCTCTTTCACTGGTTGATCACATCATGACAGCATAAAGCACGGCTGGCATAAAAAGGCTTGGGAAGACACGTAATTGACCACCGGCAGCATATTCCTCCTGACCTTCAGCTTTGAGTGTCACAAGAACTCTAGTATCAGGATGTTAGAGAGAATCCGTGAAGTTTCTTGCAGAGCGGTTCACTGCCACATTCATCCCTAATGAATGATCCACGTTCATGCTGTTCCAGGTGAGGGCCTTAAAGAGCCGAGAGCAGGGTGGTAAATAGCCATGTCAATCTCCTTTTCAGAGCTGGGATAGTCTCCCCTTTGCTGAGATTAAGTCTGAACAAGGATTGCCAGATCCTTGGAAATCAGGGAAAATTTGTGAAACACCTTTAATTTATTGCAGCCCTTGGTTCAAAGCTGTGGTTAAACATGCTAGTTAGCCCTGTTCCCTGTTCTCAAAGAGACTATATTCTATTTTGGAATACCTGTATGAAACAACTCCCATTTTTGAAAATTTACCACATACCCCTTTGCCACATCCACAAGCTCCTTCTGATCCAGTGTGACTTACTTGTGCATATTATAGATTTAATTTCTGTAACAGCCCTGATTACTCTCCCTATTTTCACCTGAGGAAACTGAGGCACTGAGTGGTTAAGAACCTGACCTGAGGCTACACAGCTAGAAAATGGCAGATCCAGGAATATTCTGCAGGGATTCAATAAAGAAGGGCTGGTTGCAAGAGATCTTGACTTTCCAATCATCCTCACGGATCTTTTCCACATTTCCCCATTTTTCTCCTCTAGAATTAAATTCCGTTCTGACTGTGTGCCCAGCCTCTAGGCTACCCAGCCACAATCAAGTAGAAAGAAACACACAACAACAGTTCTGAAAATCAGCCTTTTAATCTATTTGAACCCAACGAGTGGGGAAAGAACTAAACCATTTTTTCCCTTGAGATTGTTTATAAGAATAGCAGGTCAGAGGTGTCTCTTCCATAGGAAACTGACATCCCCCATGTCCTCAAGAGTTTATTTTTTTTTTTCTGAAAAAAAGCATAAAAGTGGAATTTCAACTCATGTGCATGCCACACATTTCCCCACCCCACCCTGCCCACCCTCTACAGGTGCAGGTATTCACACACCAAAGAGACTCCTTTCTCCAACTGGGGAACAGTAGGTGAAAAAAAAAAAAAATCCATCCAAGTGGCCACAGATACCAGAGATAACCAAATGCAGTTTGCACTCACAACATCAGTCAACTCGTATGCAGAAGGGGACACTTTTCTAACTGGAATCCAGAGCCGAAACTTACAAGTGGCAGAGACTTGAGCTATCCATAGAGATAATTTAAAAACGTCCACCAGACACTCCCCTTAATTACAAAAGTATGCAAACAATCTTGATATAAATGGAAAACAGGCAGGCGGCTCTCTCCCTGGGACACAAGGGCATACCTAAAATTCCCCCGGGGTGGCATTCGTGCCTGGACCATTGCAGCTCCCTTTCCGGACTGAAGGGGAAGGATGAGGGTGAGCAGCGGGGTAGGGACCCACCTCAGGAGCAAGTGGGGAGACAATGGAGCTGTCCCCAGGGACCAAGAACCTATATGGCCCCTGATGGGGGGGGGGGGACCTCAGTGGCAAGTGGGCCACAACTGAGCTGCAGAGAAGTCCGAGTGCTATGCACCCGCTGGAAGCCCGGAAGGTAGATGTCCAAAGACAGGGCTGATCTGCTCTGCTTGCCCCACCTAAGGCCTTGGGACTGATGGCAACTGTCCAGGAGAGGGTGAGACATGATTATTTCAGGGCTGCAGAGAGGGATGCCTTCCATCTGGACATGAGTGCACAGACCATGTCTGGTTTTCAAAGGATGATTCCCCAGGGACAACCAGCCCCTCCACCAAGAGATGCTGCTGCCACACAGCACAGGGGCTGAGGCACATTGGTGGGGGTGGGGATGGGGTTTCAGAGAAACAAGGTGAAGAGAGGAAGGAGAACTTGCCACCCGCCCAGTTTCCAACAGGCAGACCTGAGTTTCCACCGCTGCTACCCAACAACTGGGCGTCTGCTTCTCAGGAGAAAAAGAAATGGGTGGGGGTGAGGGACTTGAGCCTGAGCTCTGAGATGGACAAGAAGGGATGGAGCAAAGGCGACGGTTCCACCTATAGCGCCACATCCCAGGGACTTGCCTGGGAAGTACCATCCTTATTGAAGGCGCAGAGTGGAGGTACCCGGGGGCAGTGTGGTCCAAAGCTGAGAGCCCCGGTCTGCAGGCCGGCTCCCCAGGGGAGAGGCCAAGTGATTAGTGCGTCCAAATGGTGGGAGCTTCAAGATTGTCAAAGCCTGGCTGTGAGCTGGTCGACGTGGATTCTGGGCTGTTCCCCTAAGAGGGAAGGAACTGCAGCCCTCCCAGGAGTGGTCCCCACTATCCCCGCACCTCCCCTGCCTGACTGTGGTGGTCTTGGGGCTCCCCAGGAAAAGGGGCACCACGACTTCAGGCAGTGTAATTCGTGTCAAATTAAAGATGGGGAAAAGAGGTAGCTGCGAAACCGTGAGCCGCCCCCTGCCTCCCCCCACCCCCACTTTGGGATGCAGCCAGATCCTGGGCCAGATAAGAGGGCAGGAGGAGATGGGGGGCCGGAAGCAGGGCTGGCAGTCTCCCGGGGTCCTCGGCCATTGGGCCGGCGGGTCGTCAATGCATTTTGCCCAGCTGGATCTTCTTCCAGGCCTCCGAGGCTGTGAAGATACAGGAGTCCAGAATGCCGGCAACAGTGAAGGTCCCACCGATAATGGCACAGATCTGAAAGGGCGAAGGGGGGGAGGGTCAGAGGTCAGCACCGGATGGAGCACCAGGCCAGACCCCTCCCAAATCACGAGCTCTGCCCCGTAACTAATGGGGTCTGGAACATATGCAGGGTTCAACAAAACCCACTTATTGGATGATGAATTTAATAACAATAAAAGTAACCATCAGCAGCTCCTTTAAATCCCATACCAACCGTCTGAATGAGGAAGGGGATTAGTAGACCTGTTTCATCGGTGAGAAAACCAAGGTTTAGTTAGGTAACTGAATGCACACTGGAAGTAACACAGCTGTGACCTGAACTCAACTATGTCTTGACCCTGGAGCCCGTGGTCCTAACTTCCACTCTAAATTTATCAGATTTTTACAGTCCCATTTGCAGATGAAGGAATGGAGGTTCAGAAAGGCAGTGCCACTGGCCCAAGGTCACACAGCCAGGAAGTGGCAGTCCCGGGACTTGAACCTGGCTCTGACAGGTCCAGGCCCAGCGCTGCCTGTGACTGAGATCCGGGGTGGGCCGAATAGGCAGCATTGGCCTGGATGGACGGGAATGGGAAATAAATCTCTCACTCTCCAAAGCTTGTAGGAGATCAGTGGGATGGGTAGTAATCAAATAATCATACCAACAAATGCAAAAGTACAACCAGGGCAAGAGCTAAAGAAGAGAGGGAGCCTCTGGCACTACCAGAAAGCTTACATTACGGCCAAGTTTCTAACGGCGCTATTTACTTTGGGGACCAGAAAATTCTTTGTTGTGGGAGGGCTGTCCTGTGCAATGAAGGATGTTTATTTGCAGCCTCTTAGGCCTCCACCCATGAGACTCCAGTAGTACCCTTTCCTTCCTGTCGTGACAACCAAACGTTGTCAAGTGTCTCCGGGGGGTAAAAACTGCCCCCAGTTAAGAACCGCTGCAGTAGGGGGGATGACAATGAATGCCACCTGTATGCTGTACTTCCTAACTCCCGGCCACACGATCAAATGCAATAACCAGGACAAAACAGCTTACATAGCACTTTCTCTGTGCCAGGTGGGGCTTGAGTACTTTGTGCCTCCCTCCTCCCTGCATCCCCAGGCCAACCCGAGGAAGTACTACTCTGACGCAAATATTACCGCCAAGGAAACTGAGGCACAGAGACATTGGATCACCGGTCCAATACCACAGTGATTAGTGGGCCGAACTTGGGAGTCTGCACTCTTAACAGGACGCTCCGCTGCTTCTCAGGCACGAAACTCTCCACCTAACTGAATTCCTATCTTTGCTTGTGCCATAACTCCACCTGTGACACATCAAAATAATGCTCTGTGTTACTCAAAATTTCCTGGCCTGCCTATTGGTTGCTTTCTGGTTGCATAATAGAATCAAAGTATGGATGATGGAAGATAAAAGAACTTCAGAGGAGATTTGCAAGGCAACTTTAAATGAATTTTTCCTCTTGGGGCGCCTGGGTGGCTCAGTTGGTTGAGTGTCCTGACTTCGGCTCAGCTCATGATCTCACAGCTCGTGAGTTCGAGCCCCGCGTCAGGCTCTGTGCTGACAGCTCGGAGCCTGGAGCCTGCTTCGCATTCTGTGTCTCCCTCTCTCTCTGCCCCCTAACCCACTCGCATTCTGTCTCTGTCTCTCTCAAAAATAAATAAACATTAAAAAAATTTCTTTTGATGTATTTTTCCTCTTGAGCACATACTTTATGCCACTCCGAAGAGCCAATACCACCCATCACCCAGTGTGCCACTCTTGAGTCACGTACCCATGGCGCCCAGACAAGGAAATAACTTTTCCAAGGTCACACAGCGAGCGGGTGGCACAGCGAGGTCTGTCTGCCTCCGGAGCTCGCACTCTTTCCCCCATGCCACATGCAAGAAGCACTTAAATGACCACAGGACTCCAAAGAAGCCCAGAGGAACAGTCCTAGAGGGCCCCCTGACACTGCCCCGGAGGCACCACTGGGTGGCTGGCCCGCCACTGACGCTCAACCGCTGGAGGACTCTGAGAGACGGCAGTGACTTAATGGATCCTCTGGTGCCAAGTGCGGGAGGCCAGGAGACACGGCGGAGGTGAGAGGGAAGTGCAGATCGAACCAGTGTTTATTTTTAAAATGATATTTCCACAAGATGAGCTAAGCAGAGGCCTGTGAGGCCCAAGACAGAGCAGGTCTGTACGGATGGGCTCTAAGTAGAGCAGCTGGCATTCCAGTAATAACAGCCCAAGAAACCAGAGCAGCCCCCCAGGGAGTGAAGAGGATGGGGGGCGCTAGGGGGATTATTATGAAGTGTTTTCAGCAGGCGGGGCCTCTCCCTGCCAGCCTCAGAGCATGACGCAGGGCCACTTTTCAAGGAAGATGACGGCAGGGGAGCTGGTTTATTTCGGTAGACTGGATCAGATGATAGGAGATTTTACACCACAAAATGCTTTTAGGGCTTGGGTCAGAGAAGAGGAAAATGTGACTTAAGTGCAATGGAGCAAATAATAAAAACAAAAAAACCACACACACACACACACACACACACACACACCCTATATCCGCACACACGCTTTGGAACCCAAGCGTGCCTATGATTCACATACACCTGGCACCCAGTCTGAAGTCTCCAGGAGCAGGAGGAGACAGCACATATGCATTGAGGTACAAGAAAACACACAGCTGCGGGGAAGCTGAGGCCCCGGGGCACATAAGCTACTCGGCAACTAGCCCCATCAGAGTGAGCTGCCGTGAGCCTAGGGCTAAGGGGGCGCTGCAGTGAGGCCCCCTGGGTATCCCCCAATACCCCCCACACAGCAGCACATCCCCCTTTATCCTACATCTGTTAAAGGTGCTCGTCACCGGTCCGATGAGGAGAGGGATTTCTGGCACATTCTGGGGCAGGGGGAGGCACCTCAAAAGCTGAAAGAAAAATCTAGCAGCCTGTTTGACGCTGGTATGGCCCCTTGGTATATGGCCCCTGCCTTCAGGATTTTGCCATTAGCCTGCTCCGGCCTTCTTGACACTCTCACACTCATAGGTGGTGACTGGTATGAGGTGAAGCAGGGGTCACGAGGGGAGGGGTCCCGGGGCGCTCTCAGGCTGTGGTGCTCCCTGGATTCTGACACGTGGGTGGCCACAGCGACCCTCAACACCAGGAGGTGACCACATCTGGACTCTCCGAGGAGGTGGCCAGTCTCAGCCATCTTGTGTCCCGGGAAGGCCACAGTCCCCAGTTCCGAAACAGGGAAATAAATGAAGCCACGAGGCTGCAGTGGACAGAATGTCTGTCTTGGGACTCAGGCCTTACATTCGTGGTGGCAAGGTGACAGGCTTCACCATACTGGTGGGGCAGATCTCAAGAACAGGCCAAGAAAAGGGCTGTTGAAAGGGCAGATGGTGGCCTGGCATCTCTCCGACCCACGATGGGGGATGTGCCAAGATGCACACACATGAAGAAAAGTTTATATAAAGCCAATCATATGTATCCTCACTGTACATGGTGCAGGGGCCCTGAGCAGAGTGGGGTGGGGATGAAGTGCGTCTTGGGGAGTCTACCAGGGCCCCCCCCTGCCATGGCAGCAGAAAGGGTTCAGCCTTGGGAAGCCGAGCCGTGGCTGTCGCTTACTCTAGCCATGGGAGAGCCGTTCTGGGCCTCGTTTTCATCTACGACACGGGAAAACCACCCCTACCCTGCCAATTGTCGTACTGCAGGAGATGCCCCTGGAGCTCCCAGTGCTTAGTAGGTGCTCAGTAAACAATACCTAATCTTTCAACTGACTGGAAGGCTCTGACCTCGTTGCTGAGATCTGAGATTTTCTAAATCTCTCTGAGACCCACTCTAAGAACCGCAACGGGTAAAATACCACTTACTCCTCAGAGCAACCCTTTGGGTCTCAATTTCCTTTTTTTCTAGCTGGCTCTTTTACCGAAAGAACAAGCCCATTCATGGAAAGACAGGACAGCAAAGGTGTCCCTGGCACCACATGCAGATTCTTTGCAGTTGCCCAGGTCCTAAGCACTTCAAGTGCCCATTCTACAGATGGGGTAGCTGAGATCTTGACAGGATATTCCCTCAAGCACATGCCAAGAGGTGTTTGTGATGAAGCATATCCCTCAGGGGGCAGAGTACCTAAGCTGGAGGTTATTTCCATTCTCTGGCCACTCAGGGAGCTCTTCACATCTGCCCAGGGCTCTACGTCAACCACAAACACCAAGAAGATATCAGAAGTACCCGATACAAAGGTATTTCTGGTTGGGGCCCCTCCTGTCGTGCACCCTTGCATCATCCTTACTTCCCGTACCTCAGTTTCCTTCCTTTAAAAAAACGGGAAGGCTAATCCTCACCCCTCAGGACAGCTATCAGACCGAACGAGTGTTTGTGTTACGCACACAGCCGTGAATGTCCCCTTGGTCCCTCACCGCTGCCATGTTCTTGTACCTCCGGACCAGGCCCTGGGGCAGTGGGGGTGGTGAAAGAGCAGGGCCACTGAGCCAGAAAGGGCCACTAGACCCAGCACATGCAACCCCACTCTGGTCAGCAGCCCTGGCTCCAGAAATGGAAACAAGGACAATTCAATATCCAGGCCCCAGTGAGTCTGAGAGGAGCGCATTACTTTGTTTTCATCAGAAGTCCTCAATAACATGCCCCTTTGTTCTTTAGCAGAGATTTCCTGTGGTTTCACCAGCTTCCCAGCCTCCTGCTACGGCTAGAATGAAGTCAGTTTCTCTACCTTGAAAAGAAGATGTGTGTGTGTGTTTCCCTTACATTTTAATTATGGCTCTTAATTCCTTACAATATGGAAAGGACGCGTTCTAACCGCACTGGCTGGAGAGCTGAATCCCTCTGTTGTTCCACCAGCACTAATGCTTTCCCGATCCATCGTCCCTCCCCCGCATTTTCTTTTCCACAGTGGGCAACGGAGGAGCACAACACATACCAACACGGGGGTGGGGGTGGAGACTGCGGGCTCTGGAGGAAACATTCCTGCGGTCAGACGCCAGCTCTGCCACTCTGGCCAGGAAAGCCAGGTTACCCAGCCCCCCCCCCCCGCGAGCCTCGGTTTCTCCCATCTGTAAAATGGGGCCCCCTGTGAGGACCAGGATGGCCTCTGTCTGGCTGTCTGCTGTACCTCGAGTGCCTGCGAACTGTTCATTCACTTTTCCCCGTGCAGTCAGCATTGCTTGAAAAGCTTGTGGAAAAGGCCCAGAATGAGGAAATAAATAATGAATCGGAGTCCCATCAGATGCTGGTGGCGGCAGACAGACTGGAGCCGTGGATGAGAACACCAAAGCTGTGGCTACGCAGGGGTGGGGGCTGTCGCAGAAGGGAAGCTGATGACTGGGCCCTGGAAAAGTGGGGGGAGGAGAGGGTGTGGTGGTCTCCATCCCCTGGTGTCACGCCTGCCGGACCCTCCACTCCCACCCTCTAGCACAGGAGCCTGGTGGGGGAACAGAGCCCTCTCCCCCCTGCCCCGTTCTTACAATGGCTGAAGCTGCAAAATACTCCCCCTCCCCCCCCGCAAAAAAAAAAAAAAAAAACCCCACCTTGGTTGAGCACCTACTGTGGGCCAGGCCTGAGACGGCATTTTCTTCTGCCTTCTCATGCAATCTTTGCAACTACTCGGGGAAATGGCGTGATCCCCATTTCACAGATGGGGAAGAAGAGGCTCAGAGAGGGACTGGCCTGTTCAAGGTCACACAACTACCAAATAGGCGAGGGTGATGAGAATCAGGTCAGGAAGGCTGCAAAGGGCCTGCTTTTTTCTGTTAGACCACCGTACTTTACCCGCAACCTGAAGGCTCCTCTCAGTCCCTGCCTTCACGCGTGAATGGCTTTTTCTCAGTTAAGTTTTATCAAATGTCCTGAAGTAAGGGGACCCCATCAATGAAGTTTAGGAAGTAAGCTGTGTGGCTATAAAAATAAGTACGGTTTCTAAAAGGGAGCTCACTCCATTCTGCTATTCCTTTTACGTCTCAGAATCTGCCTTCAAAAAGCAAGCACCAGGAACTTCTGTTGCAACCAAGATATCTGTGTTCAGACCCAGTTGGAGCAATCTGTCCCTGGTACACAACCTTCTGGAAGAGCTAGCTCTGCTCAAACGTCTGGAAGGATCTGAACCAAAGTTTTTGTCCCCCACCCACACACATTTCCAGCCCTCAATAACTGAGCTGCTAATGTGGATTCTGTTCCGTTCCTCAGATAATGGGAACTTGTGCTATGGGTATGGACCAAGGCATGCACCCCTCCATCGGTTTGCTCATTGTTTGACACCTATTTATCACCTGCCTGCACTGTCCCAGGTCTGGAGACCAGAGATGACGAAGGCCCCGCCCTGCCTTCCTGGAGCTCATGGTCCGGGTAAGAGAGATACTTCAAGGGAAGTCTGAGTAGGCGAGATTCAGACCGAGCTACAAAGCTGGTCTCTTCCCAACTCATATTGCCTTAGTGGGTAAAACCTCCTCAGTTTTAAGTTTGTCTCTTCTCAGTTGTTTTTACTGTCTCCCTCCCCCCCACACCCGAGTATCTAATGCCTTTTGTCTATGGCAAATCCTCATAGGCGTCCCAACAGATGAGTGACAGGTAATCAGATTTGGGCAGGAAAATTTGCAAGTCACCAGCCAACCAGTCTCAGATGGACAGTTTACATGTGGGTGGTGTTGTTGTTTTAATGATTTGTGTGCCTGACTGTGATTTTATCACTCATGCTCACGACGTCGCCTTGTTTCCTGCTATCACATTTCTTCCTGATTCCCGGTATGGAGTCACTGTATCAAAAGATCCTGGTGTCCTATCAAGGGCTTCATGGTTTCTGGGGACTCTGTTCCTGGGACATCCTGAAGAGCCTTTGTTTTGGAAGGCAGAGGCTCCCAAGCTAGTGGCAGTGGTGGGGGTGGGGTGGGCGATGTGGCAGAAACAGGCTCTGGAGTCAGGTCCCAGCTTTGCCATTTACTGGCTGTGCCCTGGCACAGTTTCCTTAACTCTCTGGGCCTCAGTTAATTCGTACATAAAACAAGAATGATCTCTACCTTGGAGGGCTGCCGGGAAAGTTGAAGGAGGTAATTATAGAATTACCCAGTAACGGTAGATGCTTAATAAGTGTAGCTATAGGATCCCTTCTTCAAGCAGCCGTCCCTCGTATATTTCTGAGTATCGACATCCAGGCTAGGCCCTGTGCTGGATGCAGGGGACACTGAGGGGAAACAGACTTGGGGCTCATCATAATCAGGCCTGGCAAGTACAAAGTACAATCTAAAGTTTGGGGAATTATTTCGCTGGCAAGGAGCACCTTGAGGCCAGGGATTACGTCGAATGCAGCTACTGAATTGCCATTACCAACTGGTCATTTTTGGTGGGCAAAAACTGTCATGGCCAAACTGATCCAAGTTGATACTTTTTGACTTCTGGCTGTTCCTCCCTGACAGAATAAAACACACAGGGACAGCGACGTGACACTTCTGAAGTCATCCAATCTGTCACCACAGCCCACTTGAAGGCAATCCCAAAAAAGGGGCTTCGGCAAGTGGCAGGGGCAGGGGACAAATGTGCGTGTGTGGGAGGGGGCGATTTGAAGGGGATCACTTGCATGTTGTTAAAAAACATCTGTTTATTCCGTTAGTGGTGACATTTTCTGGAATGGCACAAAGTGGAAGTCTGAGCAAGGTGCCCTGGGTGCCCTGGGTGCCCAGAGAGAGAAGCCCCGGGCAGCCTGATGGGGACTTCCAGGAGGAAGGACCCTCCTCTGTTCGGGCTCAGGATGTCCAGCTCCTTTCCAGACCGTGAGACCCTGGAGGAGCGACCTCGGATAAGCCGGGGACTTGATAGGTACAAATGCATCGGGGAGGCCCCACCCGCCCCTCCCCGCCCCACCCACACCCCCTTGAACTACACCCCACCTCATTCCAGCCCACCCACAGCTGCCCCTGCAGCCCTGCAGCCGCCACATGACGACATCCTGGCCTCTGGCCTAAGCCCTCTCTTGAGCAGCCCCTGTGAGGAGCTATTTGCAGAGGCCCCCATTTGGGGCTTGGGGGCTTGGCACACAAGTGTTTGATTTTAAAAAGAGAGAAAGAGAAGTCACAGCAGGTGCCTCCACTTCCATCCTGGCCCCACCCCACCCTGCTAGGGCTCCCGGGGGTCTTTGTGCTGTGTGTGTCTGCCTGTGAGCGTCATCCCCACATCTGCCGCCTCGTGACAAGGGGCTTTGAAGCTCCACAATGACGCCATCTGCCAGGGACAGCCGGTTGGCTCACTTGGGGCTGACCCCATGGTTGCCGGGACGACCATGATGGTGGTGCGGGGCCACCAGGCTAACGATATCAGGAAGTCCCCTGCAGCATGGTCCGTGCTCCGGCGGAGGCGGATGGGACAGAGGTGGAAGAGATGCTGACGGCCAAAGGCAGGAGGAGAAGGCAATGGGGTCATGGAGGTGTCTGGCCTCTGAGTCAGATGGACGGGCTTTTCCCCTGTGACTTCTTGGGACCTCCAGCTCTTAGAAGTCCACCCGCGTCAAAAGAGGCCACACGGCCTTCACAAAACATGCTAAGCGGGGCGCCTCTGCACATACTACTCCCTGTGCTAAGACCCTCTCTCCTTCACCCACCAGTCTAGAAAATGTCTCTGCATCCTTCATCCCTGGGTTTCCTTCCCCAAATTTTCCGAACAGAAGGGAGTCTTTGCTACCACAGTGCCCGGTGCATAGCTTCAGTGGAGCCCCTGCTGGGTGGGCTTCCATTCTCTGCATGCCCGCCCCTCTTCCCCACCAGCCGGGAGCAGCTTGAGGGCAGGGATGAAGTCAAATTCGGCTCTCGCCATTGCCGGGCACAGGGACTGGCGTGTGGTCAATGCTGGCGAAAGTTTAGCAAATAAATGAAGTCGCTTCGTTTCTCAGCCACCTGCCAAGGGGTTTTCACACTTGGAGCCTCAGCCATCTGGCATGTAGGAGCAAATAAGAAGGGGACATGAAGATCCTTCTAGACCCTACAGTAAGACATGGGCACAGGGGTTTCTCTGCCACTGTCAATGCCGTAGCCCCAGGGCCTCAGAGAAGCAGACCACATCTGCACAAACGTACCTACCTGTGTTGTAGTTTCTTACTCTGGGTATGCAGTAAGAGCACTGGGGTAAAAGGAACAACTTGGGGTCCTACCCTGCGGGGCTTTGGGTAAAACCGCTTGCTCACAAGTTCCCGGGCTTTGGGGTCAAAGGGTTTGCGCCTGACCCCGCCAGCAGCTGGCCCAATCTACCTTCGTACCGGATAGTGCATGCAGGACCCCTAGCTGTGCATCCCCCCAGTCTCTATTGTGCTAGTCTGATAGGACCAGGTTGGGTCTGGTATTTTGAATCAAATTCCTCCAGTTTCTAGGGAACTTGGGCACCTTTTCATGGCCAGTATGGTCTCTTCTATGAATGCTCAAGTCCTCACCCATTTTTCTTCATGGTCACTTTTTCTTACTGGTTTGTAGGAATTCTTTATATATAAATTCTGAAGATTACTCCTGTCTCATATGTGTGACGAATACCTTTTTCCAATCTGTGTTGAGTGTCTTAGCTTTCTGTTAGGTGCCCTCTGCTGATTGAAAGTTTTGTGTTTTATGGAGTCCGAGAATGTTGTGAGGCTCCTAAAAGCACTAGGGTTCTGACACCCTTTGTACCCACATGGCATTCTAGAAGGCAAAAAGCTTCCATTTGATGATCTCCTTTGAGCCCCATGAGGCCTGGGAGGCAGGGAGAGCAGGAACTGTTATTCCTTTTTAATGGATTATAAGACAGAGACGTTGTTGTGGACATCGGACCTTTTTGCCTCTTAGTATCCACCCCTCTGTTTTCTAGTAACTGACCCCTGATTTTTCTCTTGGGGAGTCCCATCCCCTCATAATGTTTGTCTTCTTCATCTGGCTGGGGTCAGCGGGTTGGAAGTCCTTTCATTCTTTAGGCCACAAGGCTGGCATGGGAATGAAGCAGGGCCAGTGACAGCACTACCTTATCCAGGACTCAGGTCGAATTACTGAGAAAGAGGCACTTTCTATGAGTGAATTCTATTTGAAAATGAAGCCGGTACGGAGGAAAGCAGGATTTAAAAAAAAAAAGCCTATTCTAGACAATATTTGTGCCTGGATACAGCCATGCCTGAGGCTTACTTACCCCTCAAGCCAGCTGGACATGGGGCTGTCTTTTCTGTAACAGAGTCCTGACTAATACAAACCTAGTGGGAGCCAGAAATGAAAGATCCGGGACTAAGACCCCTGATCTTCAATCATTATTAAAAGTATAAAGAGGTACAAGGGGAGAAGGGCCTCTTAGTCTCAGTCTCCAAATCTGTGAGGTAGGGATAATCACCCCATCTCTCCCACCTCCGCTGCCTCTGGCTTACCAAACATCTCCGGGCCACCTGGCTGAAGCAGGATGCTGCGAGCCTGCTTTTCTGCCCCCAAGGACACTTTGAATGGAAGGCCAGGAAACAGTATACTTAATAGAAATACTCAGTATCGGGGCGCCTGGGTGGCGCAGTGGGTTAAGCGTCCGACTTCAGCCAGGTCACGATCTCGCGGTCCGTGAGTTCGAGCCCCGCGTCGGGCTCTGGGCTGACGGCTCAGAGCCTGGAGCCTGTTTCCGATTCTGTGTCTCCCTCTCTCTCTGCCCCTCCCCCGTTCATGCTCTGTCTCTCTCTGTCCCAAAAATAAATAAACGTTGAAAAAAAAAAAATTTTAGAAATACTCAGTATCAAAGAAAAATGACATCAGCCTGAAGCTGCTTCACAGAAAACTGGACTTGATGGAGACAACGGCAAGAAAGAAAAGAAAAGAGAGAGGGTGAGAGAGAAAGAAAGGGAGGAAGGAAGGGAGAAAATAAAGAGAAGAGAATGCAAGCAGGAAAGAAAGAAAAAAACCTGACAATATCAGCAGTTATAGTTGGAAAACAGACATAGGAAAAAAATGAGTTAAATTTTTTTTAAATTTTCCACAGAAAAGGATAAACCCTGCTAAACCCATAAAAAAAAATAAAAAACTGGAGAAAATCACAAACATCTAATTGACCCATATAAAAACCTGCTTAACAAACTAAATAGACTTAGTGATAAACCTCTTTGGCAAATATTTTCTGGATGACATGATTCTGATAACATTTCTAAACATCCTGGGGATCACAACCTCCTGTGTACAGCCTAGGATCCTAGCCCTGCAGGCTGCATCCCATTCTTTTAGAACCAGGAGTGCTGCCGAGAGAAGGAGCCCACGGCAGGCGCCCCACCTACTCACCGTGGTGATGAACCTGTACAGAGGTTGCCGTCTCTCTGTGTATTTGACCGTGATGGGGCTAAGGTCATAGCGGAACCAGATGGCGGGAATGATGCGGCCTGTGTGGCTGTAGGCTACGTACTCCTGGGGTGAAGGAAGAGAGAACGGGGATGTGAGAATCAGATGTATGAGCCATGTCTCATGGTGGGCGGGGGCTGGAATGCAGAGGGTCCCCCGCCAACCCCTAAGAATGGGCTTTCCTCTCTCCCTCTTGCCTGGAGCCAGACTCTACCAGTTCGTCTCACCCCTTTTCCTAGAGGCTCTGCTCTCAGTGTCTGGATGGGCAACATTCCTGGGGACGTTTTCAACCCTTTTGGCTGCTTGGAAATTGACTGTATGACCTATGGAAGCTGCACCAGAATCAGAGAGCAGAGATGCAAAAGAACAGGTGTGATTTGGGCTCCATCTGAGTAAAGGCCTACTTCCCCCTTTAACTCCTGGGTATGCAAAACCCATTCATTTACTCACTGATTATTATTTTTTTTTAGGTTTATTTATTTTGAGATAGAGAACAAATGTGAGTGGGGAGGGGCAGAGAGAGAGGGAGACAGAAAATCCTAAACAGGCTCCATGCTGTCAGTGCAGAGCCCCACACGGGGCTCGATCCCACGAACTGTGAGATTATGACCTGAGCCCAAATCGAGACTCAGATGCCCAGCTGACTGAGTCACCCAGGCACCCCTACTCATTGATTGTTTACTGAGCACCTCTCCCGTGTGCTGGCACCCCTGCTGGCTGCTGGGGACTCTAAGGGTGTAAGCCCTGCCCCATCCCCAGAGCGGGTTGTCGGGGGAGGTAGGTGTCACAATCTGGAAAGGATGCTGATGTAAAAGAGTATCTCCAATACTGTCACATTACGCACGCAGTGATACAGAGACATGGAGTGCTACAGGGCCAGGAACAAATGACCAATTCTCCCCAGGGTTTGTGGAAGGCTTAGTGAAGAGGGGGCATTCTAGGTCACACAGGACATCCTTGGGTGTGTGTGTGTGTGTGTGTGTGTGTGTGTGTGTGTGTGTGTGTAAGAGATATGAGCATAAAGGCCATGTAGGGAGTGGGCTTCTTCAAAGAAGTAACACAAACTGCAAAGAGAGAGGGACCCTAAGACAAGGCTTCCTGAGACAGCACCTGGCTGGGTAGGATTAGAAGGCGGCTAGGAGCTGAACTGATGTGTGTCCCCTCTGATCTGGGCATTTGCTGGACACTTCTGGGCTACTCTCATTCGTCTACAATAACTGTAGACTGGACTCGACCACAGGGGAGCCCCCAATCCCAAATGCTAGGCCCCAAGCTCTGAAGCTTCTCCAGGGATGATCCAAGACCACCCCCCCTCCTCCCCCCCACCCCCGCCCACTGATGGATTGCCATCGGCTCTGACAGGCACGGCCCTGTTTGTTCCCAGAGCAGGCTGGGGCCAAGGCCACAGAGAGAGCTGAGCAAGCTGTCCTGGCTGCTGGGCCTTTGCCAAAGCCTCGGGGGAAGGAGCCTTGGACAAAACAAGATGAGCTTTCTCCAGGGAGAGCTGATGGGGCAGGGTGACTGTCTGGGTCAAAGCCCAGAGATGAGGGATAGAGGAAAATAATGAAAAGTAGCAGCAGTAGGTACCATTTACCCAAAGCCTCCTTTGTGGACAAAGCAGTTTTCAAGACATTGCCTCATTTGATGGCAATCTTATCAGGTGCACCATCCTCATTTCACAAATGAGTAAACAGAGGCATAGAGCAGTTGGGTGACTTGTCCCAGGCCATACAACTAGCAAGTGACTGAGCCGGGTCTGAACCAGCAGTCTGCTCCAGCCCCACCTCTTCTGCTCAGACTGTGTCCACGTTCTCCCAGCCACTGGATGTTGTCAGCACTTGACAGTTACAATGAGATGCCCTTCAAGAAACAGTGAGTGAAAGAAAGAGAACTCGCTTTGGAAAGTTACACTAGAACATCAGCACAGGGACCCCAGGTCGCCTGGGAGAGAGCAGCTCTCAGACCAACAGACTCAAGGGCCCCTGTTCAGACTGAGTGGGTGATGGGATCAAGATGCCAGGCTCTGGAGCCAAAGGAGAACCTTGTTCTAGTCCCCACTTGGCCACTTTGTAGCTCTATAACTACATCTCAGTGCCTCAGTGGCCAAATCTGTAAAATGGGGACAAACGGAGCTGTCACGGTGACTGAAAATGATGGTGGAGGTAGAGAGCTTAGCGTCATAGCTGACCCATAGCTAGTGCTCAGTAAATGGTAGCTACTACTCTATTATTATTAACTGAGCTAAACAAGGCATCACCTATAAGGGGTTTAGCAGCCCTGGAACAGAAGAAAAAGGAGAGTCCTGGTGATAAAGGGATCCACCGGGGGTGCCTCAACTAACATGTTTCAAGCATTCATGTTCATTGGCAGGGTCAACTCTGGGGAGGCCAGAGGCTGTCTCAGCTTGAAACAACTGTCAGTCACCCTATTCTGCTGGCTCTGACCATGCTCTGCTGCCCACCAAGGCCTACCTGCTTCTCCATGACTTTGAGTGCTGGCGTCCTAGGACGTTCCTGTTAACCGATGGCCAACTGGTATGATTCAAGGTCCTTGTGATCCTGGATAAAGTGCTTGTACCCTGAGAACCGGAGCATCTGTCGTGTGTTGACCTATCAGGATCCTGAGTCTAAAGGACTGGGGCCAGATGCAAGGCTCTTTCTCAACAGATCACATCCTATGTCCTGGTTAGATTTCCTCCCTTTGACTCTGAGACTGGCCTCTCATCTTTACCCAGGGGCAGAGCCTGGCCAGAGCAGCCACAGGAAAGGCCCCCAGATAGAACCCAGCGGGAATTTGCTCAGACACTTGTCGCCTCTGCTTTTGGCCAGCAGAGGGTGCAGTTGCACGCAGCTGGGCCCACCAACTGAGTACCTTGTTGGCCACCGTGTACTGGTAAGAGTACCGTTGCTTGCCGCTCTTGTCCTCGTAAACCGTGGGCACGATCTTCAAGATGTAGTCGTGGGAGGCGAGAGCTGCAGGAAGGACACAGCAGGATGAGGCAGGGGGACAGGCACTGACCAGCCGGCAGCTCTTTCTATGCCAATTCAATTCTAAACCTGCTTGGCATTGCTGGGAGGCTGTTTCCAAATTTTCATTGCCAAACAGCCCTTCTTCGTTCCCCCGCTCTGGACACCAGGAATTGAGAGACTCCATCTATCAGGATCTTTACTCCTGCATTGTGTATGATATTAAAATTCTGGAAACAACCCAAATGTCCATCAACAGGGCAACCGTTGAAAGGTGGGTACTGCGAGAAGCCACGCCCCAAGAGGTATTGTTACACAAAAAGAACTAAGTTGCAGAATGGAGTGGATAACCTGTTTCCATGTACTGGGGGGCAGGGAAAACTCACTCTCTACGCAGGAAGGTATAGAATTTTCTAGAAAGACACCCAAGAAACTATTAGCAATTTTAGTCCCTGGGGAAGAAGGCAGGATTTGATAAAGATCACATTTCATTGTGCACCCCCTGTCCTGTTTGAATATTGTTGCTTTTGAAGCAATAAAAGTTTCAAAAAGAGCCCACAAACCAGAAAAACAGTATTTATGAAGAATCCATTTCTTTCCCCATTTTCAGTGAACGGAAGATCAGTTCTCCCTCCGCCTGGCCCTGTCATATTCCACCCTGACCCACCACTGCTGGATGCGGGGAGGCTGCAAAGGGCAGGGACTGTGCCTTACTCATCTCTTGTCCCGGAACCCTGCACAGGGCCTGGCTCAGAGCGCACAGCGTCAAGTGCTTACTAAATGAATGAACGGATGGAGGGATGGCTGGCCGGCCAGAGGAATGAATGGAGAACAGATGAATCAGCTTCTGATAAGCATGAGGTAACCGGAATCAAACACGAGGCAGATAGAATGCTGGCCCAAAGCTGCCAAATGTCACCCAGGAAAGGTGTGAATTCCCTTGCACCTTCTGGGAGATTCTGAGAAGCCCAAAGACCCTTCTGTGGTTGCCTTCTACAGTCTCAGGTCAGGGATCATGGATATAAAAGCGCACGGGAATTTAGCCTTGAGTTTTCGAATCCTGGTCTACTGGCTGAATCAGTTCTGAGTCCTTGGACTTCCTTGCTGTAAGAGGGTAGGGGGTGTAGATGACAGCCATGGCCTCTTCCTGCTAATACTGCATCTTGGTGAGAAAAGGGTAGTGCTTCCTGAATTGTCTTGAGACCTGAGCCCTCTGAAAACCTCAGAAAAGCCCTGCAGCTTCAGGTCTGAGCCCATGAAGATCCCAATACCCCACTTTCTCAAACCTGCTGTGGTCCTCGGGTATCAGGAGCAGTAGAGTTACCCAGGATTTAAAAGGCAGACCCCTGGGCCTCACCCCTGGAGATCCCTGCTCAGTGGTTCTGGAGTGGGGCTCAGAATCTGCATTTGAGATACAGCGCTCCAGATGCCCAACACCCCAGGTTAAAAACTTGAGGGAAGGAAAGAGTGAACGCCTTATGAAAAATCACACTCGTGGAAGTTCTGTTACAATTTGTACAAAATACAGAGGATCCTAAAAAGAAAAACTAAAACCGCCCACAAATCCGCCATCCACAGAAAACCATGGGTTCACGTTCTTGCGTATAAACTGCTAGACTTATACATATATTCATGTCTTCCTAAAATTCGATCATACCGTACCTTTTTTCTAAGTACTAAACACCACAGATCCCATTTTAGGCCCAAGACACAGAAGGTAAGCTCTGTAAGTGTTTCTTTTATTTGCTGCAAAATCCTCTAGCACAGGGCCTGGCACATAGTACGTCCTCAATAAACGTTTGCTGCCTGAAAGCCAGCAGAGGTCTGACACATCATGGTCAGTGGCTGCACGCAACTCCCAGCGCAGCCCCGTAAATGTACTCAACCGACCCCCCCGACCCCATGGCTAGACACTGACGCTGTTCCTCATTTGCACTCTTGTAAACAATGACCTAATGAACATTATTTTCCTAAATCTGTGCACACTCTCTTAATTATTTCCTTAGCTTACTCTCCTATGAGTAGAAATGATGACTCAAAGGCAATGACCATATTTAGGGCCTTTGATAGCCTTTGCCAAATGCCCACTAGAGACACCGCACCTAATTCCACCCACATGGATTCCTCGTCAGTGGACCCCCTCCAAGGGGCTGCTGGCTCCCACCTGATCCTGTCAGGCCCACGTACCCTTTCGCTCCCTCCCAACAGCTTATTATGGAAAAATTCAAACACAGAAAAAATGGGGAATCATATTATGAGCCCCACATACCTTATTCCCCAGGTTCAGCAATTAACAACACACGGCCGATTTTGCTTCATCCCTACCCTACTGTTCCCCCCCCACACACCCCATTTTATTTTGAAGCAAATCCCAGACATCACATCAATTCATCCACAGATATTTTAGTTATGTCTCCATAAAAGATAAAGACTCTTAAAAAACAAAACACAACAACCACAATGTCATCATCATGGCTAAAACATCGACAATCACTCCTCAGGAGGAAAACAGGTCACTCCAAGTGGGGGTTACTTTAGACGAGATGCTCAGGGAGGGCCTCTGGGAGGTGGTGGCTTTTGAGCGGAGACCTATATGACAGCCCTCAGTGGGAAGGTCTGGGAGCAGAGAGGGCAGGCAGCAAAGGCAAAGCCCTGGCAGGGACACCAAGCTAGAGGGCCGAGGGAAGGAAAAGCCAGCCCTACCCCTGGCTGCCTGTTGTCTGATCTAATGCATTTTCCTTCCCACGGAAGCCAGCCTGGGATGGCTTTCGTCACTAGCCCTGGGGCAGGCAGGGTTTTCTGCGCATACGCTCTGGTTCCTTTCCTCGCTCGGTTCTATTTCAATATCAGGCCGCCGAGGGGTCCATGCTAACTGCAAGTGCACGTGGATGGCCGCCTTGGGATGGCGCGCTGCCCTTACCCAGAACTGCAATGATTACACCACCACCGGAAGGATCATCACCCTCACTTACAATCAGACATTTGCGTGAAAAGAAGAAGGTACTGCTCACACTCATATGCTGCAGGAGGCGGCACGGAACGGGCGCGCACCCAGGGGGAAAGCATCGGGATAATGTAAATAAAGCAAAGACCGCAAATATCACAGACATTACCGGAATGGTAAAAAACTAGAAAAAACTAGACAGACATTTTCCACGAGAAGACAATGCCTTAATAGAGCACAGCAGAGCTGCTAGATGGGCGACCATGCCTCTGTCACCACTGGAAAAACTGTACAAAAATTGTGGTTAACGTAACAACGTCAAGTACAAAAGTCAGAAGGTAAACTGCTGTCTACTTGCTTTGAAAAAATGACCTCCGCTGATGGACAAGGGTTCACGGGGACACGGAAAAATGAAAAGTGTGATTTGTTGTGGCGGGGGGGGGGGGGGGGAAGGGTAGGTCATGGACAGCTGTTTTCTTTTGCGTGAATTTCTGACTATCAGAGAGAACAGTGTATTTTAAGAAACAATGAGAAAAGCCTTATGGGTAAAAAAAAAAAAAGTGAGCTCAGGTGAGGAAATAAGTCAAGGTAACCTGTCTTGCAGGATCCAGCAGATGAATGCATTTAAGCAGACGCACCACCTGGACCCATTCTGTGCGTGCATCCGTGGCCCTAGGTGTGTGCACGTGTGCATGTGTAGGTGTGTAAACATTCATTAGATGAGGCCACAGACAGCTGTGTACATACGTGTGTCAGCGTGTAAAGACATGGAGCCCTCTTTACTTCGGCCAAGATGCCAGAATGCTGAGGGGGTAGACAGCTCAGGGAGGGGGCACTGGTGGGTGGGAGGGGCTCAACCAGGAGGAGAGTATGGGGTTGGGGGGCGGCCCAGGTGGTCAGACCTGACTGGGCCATCCACAGCCCTGTTCTCACAGTGCCACTGGAACCAAAATGAACTCTGGCTCTGCCATGACTCCCTGTGGGGATCTTAGGTGATTATATTGCCTAAGAACAATCATGTGGCATGAGAACAATAATGATGATAACAGCTGGTATTCACTGAGCACTTATGATGTTGCCTAGGGCTGTCACATACTTTCCCCCGGGGGGCACAGGTCCCCTCCTCTGTAAGACGGGGCTGGTTCCACCTTCCTCACAGGCCAGCTGTGGGAACGAACGAAGCATTAACAGCTCTGCTCATGGTGAGTGCTTGATAAATAAATGTTCCCTTCTTCTCCCCCTTTCCCCGCCCCCAGTGGGGATATGGGATACATACGGTTGGAGGTGAGTCTGTCTGCTCCCCCGAGAGCGTTGAAAGCTCCATGGACATTCTGGACCTGTGGAGAAGCACAGTGAGGGGGCTGACCTCAGAATGCCACCACTTCCAGGTATAGCCCTGGCCGTGAGGGGACGGCCAGGTGCGACCTGGTTTAGGGACTTTACCCAGCATGGTCTGTCTCGTAGAGAAGCTGTGGGGAGCAAGAGAGAGACACGGGACGGGTCTGGCACCTGGCAGGCACTAGCTTGCTTCCCATCTTGGGTACCTCTAATGTGCCATTCTGTCCTGTGTACTTCTAGCCATCTCATTTAATGCCCCTAATGATGTACTGTTGACCCCATTTTACAGAAGAGCAGACCAAGGCTTGGAGAAGCACTGAAACTTGTCCAGCATCACACGGCTGATAACTGGCTGAGCCAAACTCCAAATTCAGGTATCTGACCTCAAGCCTGAGCTCTTCCATCAAGGCACTCAGGAAATACAAGTACAGGTGAGTCTAGGTCCCAGCACATGCCTCCTGAGATCCTCTACAGCTCACAGTTCTCTGAGGACCCAGGGCTGCTGGCCTCACTGTATCTGCTACAGAGAACATATAGCAGTCGTGGGGCTGAAGGCCACACACTACCTCTTCTCTGATGATGAGGGGAAACCACGTCAGCCATAGGAAAGTCTAAGGCAGGGCAAGGCATGGGGCACATGGGGCATGCCAGCATGGGCATGGTTAACAGGAGTTGCCAACGTAGACACCCTGGAGGGCTTCTTGGAGGCAGTGACACTGACACCCAGGAAAGTGGGAAGTTAATCAGGCAAGCAGCATGTGTGAAGGCATGAGCCTGGAGACTGAGGAATAAACAGAGGCCTGTGTGGCCCCAGAGGAAGGAGGTAAGAAGCAGGAAGTAGGGAGGTCAGAGAGGAGGTGAGAACAGGCTCCTGCAGAGAGGGCCACTTCAGGAAGAGTGGGAAGTAGCTGGGTGGCCTGATCTTTGATCCTGGTCTCAGGTGGCTGACGTCTATCGAGCACTTAACAGAGCTGCATACCCTTAACAAGTCCAAAGAAAAGGAAAATCTGTCCAGTGCTGCCTTAGGGAATGACAATCTGACGACTTGGTTTCTAACCCAAGAAGATAGTGGTTATGGACACGAGAGTGAGAATGTTCCCTCCCACAGTCACGTGTCATGGTTTTATGTCACATTCATTTGTATGATCATTTGATTAACTTCTGTTTTCCCCTCTAGACTGTAGGTTCCACAAGAGCAGGGACCGTGCTTGTCCTCAGCAACGTGCACAAGGCACATCACGTGCCTAATAGGTGCTCAAGAAATATTTGTCGCATGGATGATGGATAATGGATGGGTAGATGGAGCCTCAGTTGTTTTGGGTTTTTTCCACTTAAAGAAAATCCTATTTCCACCATAGCCATGACCAAGAAGAAGGCTGTTACTGCCCTGCTCTGTCCACAGCACACAACAACACAAGACTGCCCCCTCTCCTACCCATCTGTCCCCTTCCTTTCTCCCTGCTACCCAGCCTCAGTCCGCGCCCTGGCTCCCCTGGCCCTGGCTGCAGCCCTTCCGTCACCTCCACTCTGGCCTCACGGCCATCCTCCACACAGCAGGCGGGTGCTCTAACACACCAACCTGCCCGAATCTAGTAAAACTCAGCTCTCTGCTCCCATCCCAGGACACTTCCGCACCCTCTCTGCCAACTCCGAGGAGCGCTCACTTCCCAGGCTTCATTACAGAACACCATTCTGATGATGTGGACACCTGCTGATTCATTTTTTCTAAAATAACCTTGCGGCTCTTTTATATGAAAATGACCAACTGGGCGTGTCCTAGAGTGGGAGATGTGGGAGATGCCCCTTTGCCCATGAGACTTCCCTGTGAGCCTGGCCAAATCCTCACTCTCAGGGCTTGACTTACATGTCACCTGAGAGGTCACCTCCCTGACCTCCCAGGCTGGGAGGTACCCTGTCCCTGCTCCCATATCACTGCCCAGAATCCTCTGCCTCTCTTGTCCTTAGTCCTCCTTGTCCTATATCATCATGTTTATTTGTTTGATCTTTTCTTCTTTTGAGAGCAAGAACCCTGTATTGTTTACCCATCATGTAGCCCCAGGGCCTGGCACAGAGCAGAAATTTCAAGAGGGTCTGACGGATCCATGACTATATGGGGCACGGTGACAGAAGACCTGGGGCCAGACATATCTGGTTTCTTAGAAGCTGTGTGACCTTGGGCAAGCTACTGAATCCCTCTGACCCAGTTTTCTCATCAGGAAAAATAAATGCCATCCACTATCCTTGAGGGGAGTTTTTGTGAGGATTCAACAAGATGTCATCTGTAATGTTGCTCTCTAGGTAAGAAAGTGCAGGCTTCCGGGGTCAAAACCTCCCACAGGGAAGGAGTGTGGTGTGGTACAAAGACTGGGTTTGAACTCTGCCTGTGCAGAGCTGAGTGACCCTGGACTCACGACTCCACGTGTCAGTTTCCTCCTGTGCCCACTAGAGTTCACAGAGACCACCTTCCCAGGGCTGTGGTGCAGATTTGGTGAGCTGGTGGGTCCAAAGGCAGCTAAGAGACTGCCCAACACCTCGTATGTGGAGGGCCCACTGCCTAATACATGCTTGTGGTTTGTTAGCTACTGTCCCACTGGGGGTGGTGACCACCCCACATCCTGTCTCCTTCGTGGCCGTGTGAGCCCCTCAAGGGCTGGCAGCATGCCTTTTTTTTTGTTGTTTAATTTTTTAATGTTTGTTTATTTCTGAGAGACAGAGTGTGAGCAGGGGAGGGGCAGAGAGAGAGGGAGACACAGAATCGGAAGCAGGCTCCAGGCTCTGAGCCGTCAGCACAGAGCCCGACGCGGGGCCTGAGCTCACAAACCGTGAGATCATGACTCATGACTTGAGCCGAAGTCGGACGCTTAACCGACTGAGCCACCCCGGCGCCCCAGGGCTGGCAGCATGCTTTATCTTGCAGGGCCTGGTGCAGAGTGAGGGTACAAATAGCAACAACAGTGGTAATAGCTCATTTCACTGACCACTTACTCTGTGCCTGGCAGTGTTCTAAGGGCTTTGTGTGCATGAATTTGTTTTATCTCCACTACGATCCTATCAGGCGGGAACTATTACTCTCCCCATTTTACAGATGGGATGACTGAGGCCCACCAGGACTAAATACTTTATCCAAGGTCACACAACTAGTAAGTGGTGGAGCCACGATTTGAATCCAGAAAGACAGGCTAGGAACCTCCGCACGACAACCCCCTGAATGGAGAGATGGGATGATATGCGTGGTGAACCCTGTGTGAAGTGAGTCCATAGTCCTGGGGCAGGCCGAGTGTGTAGTTAGGGAGTCTGGCTCATGGCACTCAGGGAGGCCAGGATCTCTCTGTTCCTAAGCCCTATCTCCAAGAGGAAAAATCTCTGTGATTTCCAAAGGGACTGGAAAGGTGATGATTGGGCCACTCAGGCCGGGCACAAGGGGCCATGTGCAGTGGAGAGAGGAGGTGTGAGCATGCACACGTGCTTAAGGGGCAGTATGCACTCAAGAGGGTGCATGGGGACGCAGAACCAGCAGTGTGGCCTGAAACCAGACTGTTGATTCAAACTCAGGCTCTGTGACAGACTGCACCCTCCCTGTGCCTCAATTTCCTCCCCTGTAAAATGGAGAAAATAAAGTACCCACCTCTTGGGCTGCTAAGCATGAAGAAGGTCATGCTTATAAAGAACAGTGCTTGGCAGGTTCACGTGAGTGGGGCAGTGCAGGCACGAGCGTGTATGTGAGACCTTCCAACGTGGGTGAGTCTGCGCACTTCCGGGTGGTGTGTGTGAGCTGTGTTTGTGCCAGGGTCTGAGCGTGTGTCCACCTGGTATGTGTGCTTAGGGATGGATCTTAGGGTGTACGTAGGAGCGCAGGTATGTCTGGGCATACCTTTCAGTGTGTGTGATGCGTGTGTGCATATAAGTGGCATAATGTTGTGTGTGCTGGGCTTGCGGGCCTGTGTGAGCCCCATGTGCACACCACCATTCCTGGAGGGACCCCACCCCCCAGCACCCTCAACCAGGATCCGGGATTCTCATCAAGCAAGGCTTGGGGACAGGACCTGGGGTCCCGATCCCAGCACTGTGGCTGGAGCAATACTTCCCCGCTCTGAGCCGCAATTCCAGAATCCACCTTGGATGTTCTATCCAAGCTCCCCTGCCTGAGGCTGGTGGGGGGGGGGGGGGGCCCCCTTGGTTTCCCCCCCCCCCCCCCGCGGCCGGGGGGGGGGGGGGGGGGGGGGGGCGCGCCTGTGTTCCGTCCCCTCACACTGCTGCCATGGGTAGGGAGCTGCTGGGCCAGGCCCGCTGAAGGCGGCCCTCTCCATCATAACAAGGACTGTCAGAAGGCTTCGCCCACTGTGTTACCCCTATTTAGTGGGCGTGGGTACTGGGCTGGAAGGCAGAAAGGGCCACAGAGGGGAGCGGGCCGGACTCTGGCATCAAACAGATCTGCTGGCAGACCCTGGACAAGAGGCTTCTCTCGGCCCAGCTCCATGACTGTAACACGCGGTGCCTCCTTGTGCCTCATAAGGCTGTGCCAGCACGGAGAAAGCACCAGCACTTAGTACTTGCTCATGAAAAGCAAGACCCTTTCCCCAGCCTCCAGGTCTCAACCCAAGGTTCCAAGTCCAGTGCACTGTCAATAAAACTGCAGTCGCACCACCCCCAGAAGGAATGATACAGAGGAGCTGTTTGACAGAGCAGAGACTCAGAGGAGGTGACCCCTCTACACGTCATCTCTGTGTGCCCAGAGAGGACAGAAGGCTCCGGGTGACACAGCCGCCTCGCTGTATGCCCACCCCAGTCATGTCACCTTGAGTGTGCCCTGCTCACCTGCAGTGTGTCCCCAAAGGAGAGCTTGTGGATGACATGGGTCATGTCCGGGTTCTGTGGCTGGGCTGTGGCACTGTGTGTAGACACGTGGAAGTTGCCTGGGACCTGGGGGGAGAGATACAGGTTTCAGGAGTGTCGTTGGCTGCCGCAGAGGGTGGGCTGCAGGTCTTCACTCTGGTGTCGGACAGATCTGGATTTGGATCCCAGCCTGGTCCAAGCCATGGGACTCTGAAGGAGCCGCCGCCCTTCCCTGAGCCTCAGGTTCCTCATCCGCAGAATGGGCGCGGTAGCAGAAGCTACCCGAGGGGGCTGCTGGGATTTTGGGAGGAGGAAATACATGTGAGGCATCCAGCTGGGCCCCTGGCACAGGCCAGAGCTCGAAATGGCAGCTGCGCACCAACTTCCTGGCTGTCGGCCCCATAGCAGGTTGAGACCCACGGACCAACCGAACCTGCTCAAAATCCAAATCAACACCACCGTTCACCCCACTTTGCCCCATCACCTTAGGCTGGGGGATCCTTGAAGGCACGGCTGTGGTGGCCTCCTCTCCTCCCTGGGCCTTGAGGCCCTGGCAGAGCACAGCCCAGGAGAGGCACTGATATCCTGTGACCAGGACCTCCCTGGGTTCTGCTGGGGCATCTCTGTTGCACTAAGAGGCCCCTCCTCCACCAAGCTACTCAGGCCAAGCCCTTGGGATCATCCTGGCCCCCTACCTTTCCCTCACACCTGGCCTCCTGCTCACCAGGAAAGGCTGTCCGCTCCACCCTCACGACATGTAGCATCTGACCTTCTCAAGCCTCCAGTGCTCCCCTGGGGCAGCTTCCTTACTGGGCCCCCAGCTTGCACCCTTGGCACTCACAGGCCCTCCCCCAACAACAGCCAGAGGGGTCCTTTTGAACCCTACCTCTGATCGTGTCACTCCTCTGCTCACAACCTCCTTTGTGTACTCCCTCTGGCCGGGAACGGCCTACCGTGGAGGTCCTACCTCGGTCCTTCGTACTTGTGACCCCTTCCTGGAACCCTCTTTGACATGGCTCTCCCCTCCCTGTTTTCCCTCAGGCCTCTGCTCGGGGAGCCCCCTGACCCCGACTCCCCAAACCTGTGGCCTGCTAAAGCACTCAGCAGCACCTGCTACCGTATCTTTATCTCGTTCTATTCTGCTTCCTCACCGGGGACCGTAAGCTCCACGCTGGTAGGGAGTTGTGTCTGATTTGCTCTGCACTCCCCAGACCCTGGTAGATGCCCACTACATTAGGTACTGGATGAACGAACAAACCAAAGAAAGACATTAGTTCTTAAAATAGCATTTGTGGGGCACCTGGGTGACACAGTCAGTTAAGTGTCTGACTCTTGATCTCGGCTCAGGTCATGATCTCACGGTTCATGAGATGGAGCCCCGCACCGGGCTCTGTGCTGATGGTGCAGAGCCTGCTTTGGATCCTGTCTCTCCTTCTCTCTGCCCCTCCCCCACTTGTGCTCGCCCGCTTGGGCTCTCTCGCGCGCGTTCTCTCTCTCAAAATAAATAAACATTGAAAAACTGTTCTAAATAAAAAGTAAATAAATTCTGGAAATAGCATTTTTGATTGTGACATCTGGTAATTTCTATTTTACAGAAAAGAAAACTAAGGCTCGGAACAGTGAAGACACTTGCTAAGAAACATGCCAAGAGCTGTGGTTTGAACTCAGGGATGCTGGCCTCCAGACTCCGCACACTGGCCTGTGGTGACACAGGTTTGGAACAGAAAATGAGACTGTGTGACCCACACCGGACCAGAGAGATGTAGACCGTGGGGAGGGCCCCCAACTCAGTTGGGAGTGTTCCGAGAGGGCTTCTCAGCAGAAAGGACCCTGTTGTACTAAGGCTGTAAAAATGCAGTACTCGGGAAGAGGGGGAAAGGCATCAGAGCTGATGAGTCAGCATGACGAGTACGGAGGTCAGAAACTGCCCGGTTGGTGGGCACGTGTAAGGAACTAGAACGGTCTGCAGGGGTGGTAGTGGCAGAAAATAAAGAGGCATAAGAGGGAGATGGGGCGGTTCAGTAAAGGCCCCAAATGCCATGCTGAAAAACGCAGTTTATTTTATTCCAGTTCAATGAACTGCATCAGAGGAAGGAATATGGCTTAGAGCTTCCGGCTAAGCAGCAGTCCATCAAAGTCTGCTTGTTTGGTAAGCATGCCTGTTCCGAACACAAAGCTGTGGGCTGCACACAGAAGTATTCCTGTCCTCACTAGGGCCTGGGCTTTGGACTCACCTGGAAGGTACCAGGCTGACAGGGTACGGCCTGGCCTCGGCTCACAGGTGAGGCTAGAACGGAGCCTGAGACGTGGGCCTCAGGGGCCCAATTACCCGTGGTAGAATAGCAGCTGAGCTCCACACTCCAGTCCAGCCCCTTTTCAGCTGGGGCGCCTTGGGCAAGGTCAGTAACCTGTGTGCCTCAGTTTCCCCATCAGCAAGATGGAGACGCTAGCTGCAAAAGGTTACTGAGAGGATTAAACAAAGTGGGGAGTGCAAAGCCAATGGCAGCTGTTATTGGGCTGGGTTCCTAGCATGAACGTGTTCATCATCAGAACCAGGACAGAAGAACCCTCCTGGAAGACAGAACCACATGCACACAGGCAGGGCATGGGGAAAAGCCCACTGTATCTTAAAAAAATATGTTTAAACTTTATTTTTACTTATATAAATAATAAATTATACATTTATATTATAAAAAAAGGCACATGATCGGGGGGCCTGGGTGGCTCAGTCAGTTAAGCATCCGACTTGGGCTCGGGTCATGATCTCACAGTTCATGAGTTCGAGCCTTGTGTCAGGCTCTGTGCTGAAAGCTCAGAGCCCGGAGCCTTCTTCAGATTCTATGGCGCTCTCTCTCTCTCTCTCTCTCTGCCTCTCCCCCACTCTGTGTTTCTCTCTCTCAAAAATAAACAAAACAAAACAAAAATTAGAAGAAAAAAAAGGCACATGATCAAGTGAGGACTAAAGGTCTCGTTGTCTATCACCTCTGGAAGAAACCAATAGCGTCCAGCACGTGTCCTTTGGCGTTCTTCCCTGAAGTGAGTGACACGGGGCCTCCGGTGGGCAGAGTTCAGAATGGGGTTTGGAGGCTGGGCCTCACGCTCCCAGAGTGAAGTGAGTCAAGGAGGCTGGCTCCCGCGCCATCTGCCACCCGCTGCCTCCCCCCAGAGGCTGTGACTCAGTGACCCACTCCCCCTCCACAAGGAATCCATCACAGGTGGCTGACTCATGCCAGCACACGCTGGGCTGAAGAAAGAAACGACGACGCTTTTAGAGCCTGTGACTTAGGAACCTACGTCAGCGTCTCTGATAGATTTTAGAAGCATATAGATGGAGCCAGGCCCCAAACCCGGGCCCATCCTGCCCTCCTCCTGGGGGCTGGCTGATTAAGCGAGGAGTCTGGGCTGCTGGGGGCTGCCGGGGCAGCCTGGAACACTCGAACTTGGACATCTGACTGCTGGCCAACTTCCTGATGGACAGATAAGGAAGCCATGGGGCAAGTGTAAGCCTGATGCTGGGAGATAAAGGGGTAGGGGCCAGCTACTAACCTCACCCATCATCAGGGCACACCGTCACGCTGGCTTTCTTGTCTGAGCACTGCCTGACTGAGAGCTCCTAGGAGGCAGGAACCCTGAACACAGGCAGAGTGGGAGTCTCCACTCCCTGCAAGGGTATGAGGACAGGGTGGCCTGAGCCGTGACCTGGAGTGAATGGACACCAGTGGTCACAGCTCGTGTGACCAAGATGCTGCCAAGAAGAAGCAACAGGGGGACGCAGGGGGAGAGCAGGGGCCCGGTGCCAGGCTGCCTGGGTTCAAAACCTACTTAATCTCTTTGGCCTCCGTTTCCTCAGAGCTGCTGCAAGGAGTAAGTAGGTTAATACAGGAAAGGGCCAGGTAAGAACCCAATCGGTGGTAGCCATAAGGCAAGGGCCAGCTTCACACTTTCCTAGAATCCCTGGCCCTCGCCAGCCAGAGAAGAGCAATTTCTTGAACGCCATCCACGCACATTTTAGGAGCACACCTGCACCCAGGTGACAGTGGGTGCCAGCTGATGAGATCACGGATGCTCCCACTGATGGGAGATAAAGCAGGCCAGGGAAAGGGCACCGAGGCTTGTTCCCATCCCCACAGAGTTAAGTGCTTTGTATTCTATTAAAAAAAAATTTTTTTTTAAATGTTTATTCATTTTTGAGAGAGAGAGAGAGAAAGCGGGCAAGGGGCAGAAAGCGAGGGAGACACAGAATCTGAAGCAGGCTCTAGGCTCTGAGCTGTCAGCACAGAGCCTGACATGGGGCTCGAACCCATGAACCGTGAGATCATGACCTGAACTGAAGTCGGACGCTTAACTGACTAAGCCACCCAGGCGCCCAAATGCTTTGTATTTTAATTTGCTCATGTCTTACAATCTGTGAGGGCAATATTATTATCCCCATTTTACAGATGCAGAAACTGAGGCTTAGAGAGGCTAAACTGCCCAGAGTCATTCATTCAATCAGTGAGCACTGTAGCCAGGATTCTCGACCACAGATAGGTCTGACCCCAAAGAGCAAGTCCCACTCCCCACTCTGGGGGCCCCACCAAAGCCCATCTGAGGGGAGCTGACCACAGCCTGGGCGTGTTTGCTAAGGAGGGAGGAGGGTGTGGTGCTGGGCTATCTCCTGGGTGGTGTTTCTCCTGTGTCCATCCCAGGCTGGGTGCCAAAATGGCCCCTTCTCGTTCACTGTCTGGGGCATAAATATTTGTTTAAGCCAGGTGATCATAATACCCCTGAGGGGAGGCTCCCACAACCGGGACTGTGTGTGTGTGTTCATCCTCAACCGTCACCCCTCAGACAGGCCTCCCCTTACACCCCAATCTCAGTGGTTTTTCTCCCTTATTCTCCACCCTAACACCCTCTTCATTCTCTTCACGGCTGCTTTACCAAAGCCGCAATTTGCTTGTTTGAGTGTTTACCTGTGGGGTGGCTACCACCCCATAAGAGACCACAGTGCCATCAAGGTCAGGGACCATGATCGTTCCTTCTAGCACTGCATCCCAGTGCCAAGTGTGGAGCCAGGCACAAAGCACTCAATAGCATGATGTATGAATGAATCAGCAAGGGGCGGGACGCAATGGTCCAAAGAAGTCAAGAAGTGAAATGGGGGTCAGAGGAGAGGGAAGGAGGGACTCCCCGGAGGGACTCCCCGGAGGGACCCACGTCAACGAGGTCTGTGGAAGAGCAGCACTTCTCCAGGCAGAGCAAGAGCCTAGGCCTACCACCAACTCGCCTATCTCCCTGCATGCCCACACGCCCGCCCGCCCTCCCTCCTCTCCAAGGCCGCCTCTCTAGCCCGCTGCGCTCTCCCACGTCACTGGCGTCCCCTGCAGCTCCCAGGTCAGTCACCCCACCCACGCAGCACTGGCCCTTCCCCTTTGATCCATGCTCTCTTCTAGATTCTAGGGCCCGCCTAGGCCTGGTTCCCTCCTACCTGCCTGGCGGCTCCTTCTCCTACCTTTCATCACCCCCCTCATCTCCCCACTCCTCAATGCTGGAGCGTATCAGAAATCAGTCCTGAAACCACATTTGCATCAAGACTTTGGGTTCTTGGGGCGCCTGGGTGGCGCAGTCGGTTAAGCGTCTGACTTCAGCCAGGTCACGATCTCGCGGAACGGGAGTTCGAGCCCCGCGTCAGGCTCTGGGCTGATGGCTCAGAGCCTGGAGCCTGTTTCCGATTCTGTGTCTCCCTCTCTCTCTCTGCCCCTCCCCCGTTCATGCTCTGTCTCTCTCTGTCCCAAAAATAAATAAACGTTGGGAAGAAAAAAAAAAAAAAGACTTTGGGTTCTTGCATTTTGGTGCCACAGGCCCTTTGCCAGTCCGGTGACACGTGTTTTAAATGTTTAAGATGTGTTGAATGTATCCAATACATAGGATTATGGAGGAAAGAAATGATGTGTAAGCAGTAATTAAAATACGAAAAAACATACTTAAATAGGCTTCTTTATTACCACAGCAAATAATAAGACCTGGTCACAGGTCAACTGATCACTCTGATTTCAAAGTAGTGATGAATGTAAATAGTATCTCAAAATTATCTGCAACTATTTTAATGTGATATAAATATCGGCAATTTATTGGTGACAAGTCACGGGTGCTGCTAAGGCTACTATGGTTTGTAGCCAACGTTCATCATAGGAGAAAATGCTGAATTTGAGTCAGAGCTTCATAAAAATCAACGTGTCATTTTTTTCCCCCATGCAAGTTCATAGACCCCTTGGATTCAGTCTATACTTCCTGGGGTGTCAGTGAACTCCAGGTTTGGAAAAATTTCTACACCTTCTCTCTGGATGTTTAGCTTAGGCCAATAATCCGCAAACATTCATGGCATTGGAATCCCCTGGAAGGCTTGTTATAACACAGATTAGGGGGTCTGAAGCGGGGCCTGAAAATCTGCATTCCTAGTAAGTTCTGAGGTGGTACTGATGCTGTTGGTCTGGGACCTACTCTGAGTAGCGCTGATGGAGACCTAGGACCCCAACATCATCTATTCACTGATGACCCCCCCCCAAGTTTATATTCCGGCTCAGAACACTCTCCCGAACCCCAGAAACACACCTCCGATGTAGTATCTCTGGGAGGAATCCCAAATGAAACACATCCAGAATTGAACTACAGTTTCCCAGCCCTACTGCCCACAGAATCCATGCTTGCCCAGACTTCCATATCCAGAAAATGGGACCCTCTGCTCGTCCAGACAAAAACCTAAGAGGTTTCTTTGACTCCACTCTTGCCCTCACTACCCATATCCAACCGATCGGCAAGTCTCGTTGACTCCACATCCCTACTCTGGCCACTTGTCTCCAACTCCACTGCACACCCAGTGACCATGACCTCTGCTCTTGGCCCCTCCAGTGTGCTCCCTGCACAGCTATCACCATGAGCTTTCTAAAGTTTTGCAGTCCAACAGAACTTTCTCTGGTGATGAAAATGTTATGTAGCACTAATATGGCAGTCACTAGTCTCACGTGGCTATTAAGTACTTGAAATGTGACTAGTGAGACTGAAGGACTGAATATTTCACTTTATTTAATTTTAATGAATTCAAATTTAAATAGCATCACGTGGCTAATGGCTACCATACTGGTATAGCATGGGTCTTTATTTTTTTTTTTTAACTTTTTGAGAGCACGTACACACGTGCATGTGAGCAGAGGAGGGGCAAAGGGAGAGGGAGGGAGAGAGAGAAAGGGAGAGAGAGGGAATCTCAAGCAGTGGAGAGGAGAGGCCCCGGGACTACGTGGGAAGAGACAGGTCCAGTCACACCAATGTCCCAGCCCAGTCTTGCAGCCACTCAGCAGGAATTGTGGGAAGGGAGGGCACATGCCCTGTCGAAAGGGGCAGCTCCAGATGTCTGTTGACAATGGGATGTGTCCCCAGTGTGGCTAGAGCCTCTGACTTTGAAAATCTGGAACTCTGGGCTCCCAGTCTTTAGCTATTGGCTCTGACGTGTTTGAATGCTATACAGGACAAACGTAACTTGTCTTTCGGTTGGGTGTGGCCAGTGAGCTTAAAATGTCTGATTCAGATGTCGGGGACCAGAGGAAGGGTGTTCTGAGCAAAGGCTATAAGAGGGCAAGCAGAAGCCAGGAGTGGCCAATGGCTCAGTCTGGCTGGGACCGGGAATGGGAGTTATGGAACACGGGAGACAGCTGTGTGATCTTGGGCAAGACACTCAACTGCTCTGGGCATCCGTTTCCTCATCTGTACAATGGTGCCACCTCACAGAGCTATTTTTGCAAGGCTCCGCTGTGATTAATACATAAGAAGAGCTGAAAAGGGTGCAACGTGTATGGAGCCAAGGTTGCTGGCTCCCGCCAGGGTTCCCTCGTACTCCCAAATGCACTGTGCTCACATCCTCGACTCCGGATCTGAAGTTCCTGGTTCTAGCAACAAAACCACAGTAACACCTGAATGGTCCTCTGGGGGCCTACCAGCTACTTTCAAATGCACCCCAATCTCACTCCTCCCCTGCTTTATTCCTCGTCACATCGCCACCCACCAAAACGCTTTTCAGTTAGCGTGCTGTCTATACCCCCCTACTAGCACAGGAGCTCTGACAGCGCGGGAACTCTGCCCACCTACCCCGTTCCGTGCCACCTACTCAGAGTGGCCCCAGAGCTGACACAGAAGGTGTCCAATAAACGTTTTTCGAATGAATGTGTGATAGCTCATTTAATCCTCATGCAAACTTTGGGAGCTGGGTGGTATCATTCTATTATTACCATCATCGTATCCTCACCCTAAAGACGTAAAAACAGGCTATGATGGGTGGAGTGACTCAGAGGGCGCTGCTTGGCCAAGAGGGGGTAGAGCCGGGATGCACACTCAGGGCTCAGGACTGCAAATTCCATGGTCTTCTTAACGGCCGCTCCCTTCCCCGGCGGGAGGAAGAGCAGCCCCTTCCTGAACCAGCCAGTGGGGGCTCCGTGCCTCTGGGAGCCTGGAACCCTCACCCAGAATCTCAGCAGGAAACGCTGCTGGCCACCCTGATGCTTGTCAGTCCCTGGCTGCGGGGGGAGGCTGAGTGAGCGCACAGCTCTGAACACCCGGATTCTGGGAGGAAGGGGACCGAAGGGATGGGGAGTGGGGAAAAGGGGCCCGTGCAGGGTCTCCGTACCTTGTTGATGCTGAACTGCCCCTCAAAGCGGCAGCCGGCCCCGTTGTTCAGTGGGATCTTCATCGAGTTGTCAATGTGCCCCACCTCATGCCTGCCCATCTCATCCTGTATGTCAAGTCCAACCACTGCAGGGGCCAAGGAGAGGAGAGAGTCACAAACACCCAGAGAAATGGGGATGGGGCCCAGCCCTTCATCCCTGGACCCCCTCCTCTCATCTACTCCATGGACAGGTGGGCCCTGGGCCTTCCAGGCACCCACAGCCTAGGGCCCAGAGCCACAGAGAGGAAGGCAGCCAGCAAGGCTGGACTGAAAGGGAGCAAGCCCACGAGGTCCCTGCCACTGCCTGAGGCTGCAAAGGAAGAGGGGAAGGAGGCGGGGAGGGGGGGGAGGCGGCAGCTAATGGGGTGAAAATGGGTGATAACAATTAGACCTTCCTTGGAGAATTATGAGGATCAAATAATATGTGTAGAAAATGCTTAGAACAGGGGCTGACGTATAGTAAACGGCAAGGGCTTAATGAACGTCAGCCCCTAATGGTTCTCAGTCTCTGGGTTTGTTGGGTAAGGTTTTAGGCAGGCATTCGTTCACTCATCACTCATTCATTCATTCACACCTTTTTTTACCCAATGCCTATTCCTGCGGGCCCTGCCCTCCCGGAGCTTAGGTACTTTTCTGGGTTCCTCAGTACACTGAATGGGAAACTTGGGGCTTGGGAGTCCCGGTCTTTGACTCCAATGTGACTCTTTACCCGTGACTCAGCTTCCCCATCTGTAAAATGGGCAGGCCCATGCCAATTGCATCCTTTGAGATGGTTTAAGTGGCACGGCTTTGCAAACTATGAAAACGCAGACATTTCCCTGAAAGAAGCACTGGAAAGGAGGCTATGACACAGAGAAAGAACTGAAAGCAGTTTTATGTGAGCCAACCCTACAAGGGAAAAATGGGAACAAATGTATCCCTCAGTGGTGGTGGGGAAATGAGGGAGGGCCCATCCACAGAAGGAAAGATGATGTAGTCGTTAAAAGTGACGCTCACAGGTCTGTAGTATGTGGGAAACGCTGATGCCGTAACGTTTGGTTTAAGAGAAATGCAAACAGGACTCGGCGGCTCCACCCCTGGGAGCCTGTTGTCTAGATGCACACATGTCCAGACGTGTGTGCGAGGCTGCTCTGAGCAACTTTATTTGAAATTGTGATGAGTGGAGGCAACCCAGATGCTTGTCAACAAGGGACTAGTCAATGGAACAGTCCCCTCTGGAATGCGGTGCAGCAGGTACGAGAACTGAGCTAAATCCATGTGTGGGGAGAGACAGCTCAGAGCAGGGCAGTGACTAAGAGCTTGGGCTCTGGGGCTGCCACTGTCTGTGGTTCCTGGCCTTGCCCCTTACCAGCAGTGGGACCTCGAGCAAATCCCCTAGCCTTCCTGTGCCTTGGTTTCCTCCTCTATCCTAGGCTTGTGAGGATTTCGAAAATTAAAATAGTACTAGGTGCTAGACACCCTTCTAAGTGCTTTCTACATAGGAATGCACCATCCGAGCATCCCTGTGGGGAAGATAATATTAGCAGACCCATTCTATCCTGGGGGACACTAAGGCACAGAGAGGTTAAGTAACTTGCCTGGGATCGTACAGCTAAGAAACACTGGAGCGTGGATTAGAACCCACAGAGTTTCGATCCAGAGGCCACACCCTTTGGCCATTCCACTGGAGTACATCTCATCTTAATGCACTAACACAGCCAAAGGATTCAGGACAGAGCCTGGTTTGGAGCAGGAGCAGAATCAATGGCAGCTGTGGTGATCATCTTACTAATATTATGAGTAACGTAAGAATAGCTCCAAGATATTAGCATAAAAAACAAGAAACCCCAGAAAGGTCCCACGCAGTTGGGTCCCAATTACATGAAAAGTAAAAAGAAAAAACAACACCCGCCACCTAAACATGATATGCGTTTGTAGACGCGGAGACAGACACACAAGGCAGGCACACAAACACAGGGGTGGAGAAGGGGTCCCGGCTGCTAGCAGGGGCTTCCTCTGGGGTGGATGGCACACTAGGGAACACGGACTTCAACTTTTCTCTTTGTATGTTTCTGTATTTTGAACGTGATTTTTTTTAAGCCAAAAAAAAAAAAATATTCCTGTTATTAGTTAGCAATAAAATATCACTTTTTAAAGCAGGATAGGAGATTGCACACACAGTGTGATCTCAGCCGTGTTTAGAAAGGCTCAGAAAGGAAGGCCAACGGGATGGGATGGCGTCAAATGTCAACTGACGCTGTCACTGGGGGTGGAATTATGGGCGATTTCTTCTCCCTGCTGCTCTGGATTTTCCAAAGGTACAATGATGAACGTGCTTTTTTTTTTTTTTTTTTTTTTTTTAATAATAAAAATCTGTTCTCTTAAAGAACAGCCAGGGTGCGGAGCTCGAGTGTAAGATGCCTGGGTTCGGGTTATGGCCCCACAGAGAGGCAGCGCCCCGTGGGCTAGTGCAGCCCCAAGCTTAAGGTTGCCTGGCCCCTCCTGGGCCACTGCCCGTAGCTGGGACGCAGCCTGGAACCACATCCCTTCCCTCCCCTACCCCACTGGTCCCAGTCCTCTGGCCTGACTAAGAATTTCCTTGTTCCAGAGACACGACCTACTCCTGACTGAGAAGCTGCCAGATGAATTATTTTTCTAAGGGAAAAAGAAAAAATAAAAATAAAACCGACCTATTTCAACAGGTTCCCTGGCTTGGGGCCCACTGTGGATTCAAAATTGTGATGTAATTCTCACCAAAAGCAATAACAGAACTGAATCTCTCCCTATCTCTGCCTGCGGACACACCCAGTGTTCTGTCCTTCAGGAGGAAGGGCGTGGGTGGGAGAAGGGCCTGCATTGGGTTATGTGCCAACCTGGGGCAAAGGGACACTAGACATCCCAGTCCAGGAAGGGACACCCAGTCCACTCAATAAGAAGTCTAGGGACCGGCTCATCAGACCCTCCCGGAAACCTCAGGCAACAGATAGCATTATAAACCCATTTTTATAGATGAGAAAACAAGCTCAGAGAAGTCACACCTCAGCCTGGGTCAGAGTTTTAGTGAGCAAAAGAGGTCCGAGGTCTCCTTGCTTTAAGACGCTTGAGAGGTTATATGACCCTGCCCCCACCCCCCACGGCACCCTACAGCCTCTTGCCAAGATATGGGTAATAACAGCCCGGCCCCCTTGCTATGGGGCAGGATAAACTGTGGTTGTCAGTCACATGCCACAGCTCCCCGTGAAATCCGGCTGAAAACATGGCTACCCTCCAGAGGTAACCCCCGTTAGCCATTTCGAGTACTTTGTATTCTACAAAACCTCCAAATGCAGGCACATTTGATTACATTCCGCACCCCCCCACCCCCAAAAGGAACAAGGAGAACCTTATGCGACCTGCTATTTGCAGCCTGCCCTGTTTGCTGACTTGTCCCGGTTATCTTGTCATCTCTGCACACTCAGCTCTGCCTAACTGAGGGGCCTTGCTGGAGCAGAGGGCTGTTGGGAATACTCACATTCGCAGTGCAAATTGGGTAAACTGATGTTCAGGCTGACGTCAATTTTGCCCCCGCTGTCCTTGTCCGGGTCATCGACATACAGCTCATTCACGCTAAGGGAGACAAGTACAGAAGCCTTCACTGAGAGGGGGCACCCATCACAGATGCCGGGGACAGCCAGGAGCCATTTCCCTTGGTGACCACTGCTCAACCACCCATCTAGGGGAAGCCTATCTGCTCAGGCACAGGGGAGCAGGGCTCCCATCTTGAGGGCCTCTCCAAACACTGGCCTTACCACTCAGAGGGAGGGGGCTGGGGTGGTGATAACGGGCACGGCTTTTGGCGTCAGACAGATTCAAATTCCAATCCCAGCCCTGCCATTTTCTATGTGAGCTCGGCAGAGCCCGTCTTCGAGTGGGATATCACCACCTACCGTTAATGGGGTGGTCTGAACACCTGAGTGAAAAATGGGAGTCTTATTAGGCCGCAGGGCCTGGTACCTCCAGGCATATGGTACCCTAGTCCCTACTCTCTGGAGCCATCTCCCACTCAGCTGGGAAGTGGGGATTCCCTGGGCGCTCACCCTCGATGCTCGGCCCTCACAAAGCCCTGGGGCGAACACCAGGTCCAAGATGCAACCAGACGTGACTAGTTTATTAGTGTCCTGTGGCTGCAGCATAAATTATCACAAAGCTGATGGCTTAAAACGAGTCACGTTTATTATCACCTTGCACTTCTGGAGGTCCACAGTATAAAACAGGTCTGCGGGGCCGAACTCCTTCTGGAGGCTCTACGGGAGAATCCTTCTAGAGGCTGCCTAAGTTCATAGCCCCTCCTCCACCTTCATACCCAGTAGAACCACACAGCATCTTCACTCTTCTCTGGCCTCCGAACTCCCTCGTACAGCACCTCTGGTCATTTCATCTCGCCCACCAGATAACTCAGGGCCATCTCCCCGGCACGAGAGACTCGACACAATCACATTTGTAAAGTTCCTCTGGCCAAGTAAGGTCACACGTTCACAGGTTTCAGGTCTTTGTGAAGAGAGGCACAGTTTGGGGGCAGGGGGCCCCGTGGACAGTCGTGCCACCTTGCTATCTGGGACAAAGGCGCCACAACAGGACCTGTCGGCAACGTGAATTTATTCAACAAATACTTTTCGAGCGCCTGCTACCTGTCAGGCACCAGAGACAGTGGGTAACGCAGTCAGACACGGTCTCTGTCTTCATCAACCTTAGAGACACCACTCGCCTCCTTAAAAAATACCTTCCACCAACTATGATTATTGCTTGGTTGGAAAGTTGTGGGGTGACAAGGGAGGGATAACAGGACAAGTGACCTCTGGGGAGAATGGGCCAGAAGGACTTCTCTGAGGAGTTGGGAGCGGAGGCCTGAAGGAGGAGGAGGCTGCCCCAGCAAAGAGGTGGGGGTGGGGCAGGGGAGGATCTTTGGGACAGAGTGTGCAGAGGCCTGGAAGTAGCTATTTTGGGGAACTGAGGAAAGGTCACTGTGGCTGCGGCGTAGAGCGAAGGGAAGTGGGCTGTGTGATGCAGCTGGAGAATGGGCAGGGGCTGTGTCAGGGAGGCCCGGAGGCCCTGGTAAGGCCTTCACACT